AGCCAGCGAGTACCAGCTCGTTGTCTTCACATGCCGCCAAATACCGACGCTTTGTCACGCCCCTCGCGCTCTCCGGTGACTACAGCGCAAACCCATCTGCGTGATTAGTGGAGCGGGATGACGACCGGAAGGCCGTTGCTTGAGACCCGTGTTCATGTCCAAAGGCGTTGAGTTCATTTGAAGTGAACCGTGATGTTTTATTTTGCAAACATATCTTGTTGTTGTTTGGGGTCAACCACGTTTAGTTGAGTGCGCCCACAGTGGAGCGCGGTGGATTGACACTTTGCGCTGAGAGTGACATAAAGGGTCCCGACCAAGCGTCACTATGTGACGGGTCGAGAGCTTGTTGAACTTGGACACGTGGGGGCTTCGGACATCTGGAGGGGCCTGTTCAATTCTCTTTGCTATGTCAATGCACTGACAACGCCTACATGTATGTGTATTTAGGGCGACCACGGCTCTGTTGCATCCCATCACTCCGCACAGACAGATGCTTCTATGTTTCTGCTTTATAATTGAATTTAATAGATTTGATATTTGCAGGGAGGAGGGCAAGCACAGGTACAGCTCATTAAACGGGGATTTAAGAGTAGTATTCCTTTAATATTAAAACAAAAGTGGTTCAAATATACCATTATATCGGCTTTAGTTGCCTAAAAGACGTTTGGCAAACATCTCAATGGATAGAACCTTAAAGTTTAGAAAAGCCTCCCTAGACAGTCTCAGTCTCTAGCAGCTGCTTGTGCCCCGTCTATGAATACTGCACCCCCCCAGGTCCATGTATGTCCGCTGACTACACACCGTTTTTCACAGCTATTTTCCTCCCGTCGCTTCCAAGCTGCTGAAATCCCTCCAATTGAAACTATTCCCTCTGTGCATTCTTCTTCAAAATTAGCTGTGCCCCCACCTCACTTCCAAACAATGCATCGCTGGCCGGCGGGCCACAATCCTGCGGGGTCACGTCACGCCCCCCCGAGAATGAGCCCGGCGCTCCGTCTCGTCTCCACCCAGATAATGAGAGAAAGAGAGAAAGGTTTTGTTTCCCCTCTGAGGACTCCCGGTGCAGCTGACGGGACTCCAGGTATTTTCAGCTGTCGTCCCTGCTGGCGCGCAGACAGAAGGGCTGAGCCGCCAGTCGGAGGCTTCATTTTTCCAAATAATGACCTTTATTGCTTTAACACACTGACATGAGTTACGGTGTTTGCCCTTGTTGTGCCTGCGGGGCTTACTTTAGGCTCGGTTATGCGAGAGGAGCTTCCATGAGACTCCAAGAGTCTGAGGACTCGATGAGCGCTGCACTTAAGTGGCAATTACCCGCTGACAAGCCGGCCCCCCATGTATCGTGGATTTGTGAGATGTTGTTGTGTAACACAAAGCAACATTTAAAAAAGACAGAGCCCCGGGGAGAGTGATGGACCTCGGGGACCGTAAACACCACGAGTCGAAGACAAGGGCTCGTTGGCGACTGAAACTCTAAACTGAGTGGCAGCTGAGGAACAGCGCCGCCGGGCTCCTCCGGGCACGGGGTCAGACGTTTAATGGGGATGTGTCTGACCTCTGGGCGATCCCACCTGAGCTGAGGGCGGCGTCTGTTTAGTCGTGTGGCGACAGGAAGAGGAGGAGGGGGTCGGGCGGTTGTGGTGGTGGGGAGACGGGCAGGGAAACAAGGGATGGGGATTAAAAGGGCGCTCATTCTGAACTATTCCAGGGACAAGAATCCGCGTCCCGAGAGATCTGCGGGCGACTCGGCCGCTCCGTCATCTCTGGTTGGGACTTTTTAAAGGCTCGACAGTGGGGTGTCTAAAACAACACCGCTGGCCTCCTCCACTTCAGCTGTTCCGCCTCGTTTGAAGAACAATACTTTTCTGCTGTCATTTATCTGCTGCTCTGCGGGCCATGCTGCTATTTGCGGGAGGCGTTTGTGGCCGACTGGAATCCGCAGCCTCCATCTCCCCTCAGCTTTGTCTCTGAGGGGGATCAGGGATGTTTACGGCTGTGGATGAAGACAACGGCGGCAATTGTCCAGAGCACAATGATGCGTCGAGTTCAGTTGATCCGCACATCATTGGGGGATCTTGGTTCCCTCGTGCTTTGGGGAACGTATATTCTTTCGTATAAAAGAGTAATAAGAGAAAGCAGGCGAAATAGCAAACGTTAACCGATTTTAAAAGTTTAACGACCACTGTTCCAAATTACAGATGTTCTGCAAGGATTTTAAAACATCCCCTTAATACGCCACCGTCTATCCATAGATCAATAAAAGAAAGACTCAAGCAATGGAGTCAAAGGTAGGAACTTCAGAAGGAGCAGGACAAGAAGAATCCCTCCGCCAGGTGTTCGTATCTGTGTACAAATCATGCCCAACAGCCCCCTGGAGGATGACAAGTTTATTAAAAACTTGTATCATCTGTCACCAGGAAAGCTTCCAAAGATCCAAACGAAATGTCCCGTTCCCTCTACATGGGCATGTCTGGGTCTACGGGCGGACGCCCCCCGGCGATAGAGCTGGACTAAAGGGGAGGGGGTCGGTAACACCATATCGTAATGACAGACAAGAGGGGATTTAAAGGGAATGTTGATGGAGTCGATGGTACAGATGAGTGACGTTGTGGTGTGGAGGACAGGGGACGGGTTAAGTTGAATAAGGAGTTGATTAACGGGAGTTTGTGGGGGGGGAAAGGTCAGACAGATCGACCCTCATAGATCATCAGAAATGCAAACACAACCAGGTTGTCATTTACGCTCGTACAGCCCAGTTGCATCATCCTTCGCAGGGTTCTGCGTCTGTCAGGCTCGGCGCTCATTGACATTGCTACGCTGCGCTTCATCGCCGTGTGTTTCTCCAGTTGGATCACACAGACCTCACATCTTCTCCCGTTTCCCGCGACGGCAAAAACATGCGTGCATCAGTAATACAATACAATCCAAAAGTCACTTTGATTGCTATGAACAAGCTGGCATGCAAAGCCATAAAGTGATGGACTAACTTCGCTCATGCAATGGAAAAGGAGGTGAATAAAAACAGCCAATAATTCAAAAAGAAATGAATTTTTGCTGTCAAATCAGTTAAAACCTTAATTTTGTCGGTCACGTAGTGAGAGAAGCAACTCCTACCTCTCTTCGTGGGCTCTGGCATCTTGAGCCGCGTCCTGAGAAAAACAAAAGCGGCGAGGAGTCAAAAGCTGCAGGTCGGTCGAAAGGCGCCTTGAAAGTGACGCGGGACTGCAGGAGGCCGGCTGAGGCGCGGCAGCCCTCTCGTCCAGGAGGGAGAGAGACGGATGTAGAAGAGGATAAAAGGCTCTGGGAGCCCTCGGACCAGAGTGGTGGGAGATGAGGAGCGCGCAGGGATCTCCGTGGGGGAGGAGAGGAGGACCGGGGACAGATCCAGGAGGGACAGGCTTTCAGGCCTTATATAGAGAGGGGAGATGCTCCTCCTCTCTGTGGTGGTCGCTGCATCACTGTACCCGAGTAAATGCTATCCAAATAATGCTTATTTACTTTTTAGATTAAAGTTCAATGTATTAGTTTCATAGTTGAAGCAAAGAATTACACAAATTTGACATAAATGAACAGTTTTTGTTAGTTGGCTGTATCCATTCAACGTATTCATTATAGACCCGGTATGTTATCTTTACTTTGAGATGCCAGAGGGGCAGTTGAGTGTCCTCAATTCACAATGGGCGGTGAAATCCGGAGGTGTGACATTAAAGGAGGGAGGTGTTGTCATTGTCGTGTGCAGAGGTGCTTGTGATACTGACCATCAATCCCCTACGCAACACATCCAGAGGATCTGCGGCTTTATTACAAAAGAAAGGTTTTGGGTGACATGCGGCGACTTGATGCCAGGTTTCAGTTTAATCCGGGCGCAACGCTGGACAAGAACAGCGGGCTTTCCGAACTGGCATGTAAATGCTGGGCCGATGCCATGAGCGGTGGTAATGAGGCCTATTCTTAGAGCGCCTTGACATTTGACATGTGTATCTGACATGAAAAGAGGGTTTCGCTGTGAATTATGTCACTGATGTGGCTGCTTTTGTTCCCAATTAATTCATTTTGGCGCGTCAATCACCAGGGATACATCAGGTGTGGCCTCTGATCAAAGGTTGAAAAGATTAAATAGCAAAGCTGAGAGCTGACGGATTTACGAGCCACGCAGAAATCCCTGCGTGGAAGCGCCTCTGCATGTAAAAGCAGCGAGCGCCTTCGGAGAATCTAACAATATCATCACCACTCGAGGATGTTAATGACCTCAACGTGGAAGTGCTCCTAAAATGTGCACGATCAATTCTTGGGACGACACAACGGGACAGTCGAGACGGAATATAGATGCTGTCTGTGGACAAAAGGAATGCAGCTCTTATCGCCTTATGTATGTTGGCAACGTGGCATCGGGGCTGCGAGCCGGCACACGTCACCCGACGTGGAAGCCTTCAATTGAGAACTGTCCTTAAATGAGTGTATTTCGCAATTCACTTCAAAGTATGTGGCCTTTCTCGGTAACAGACACCCACAGCTCGGTTATCCCATTTATAACCCGCCGTGGGCTCCAGGGGTAAATGCCGGGCTTAGGGAGGTGTCACGTGGGTCCGCTACAAGCGGCACAAAACCATTTGGTTGTTGCTCGGGACGGCCCGAAAAGGTTCGCATCACAGGGGCGATTTAGCCATGAGGTCACGCCGCACGGGGAGAGGAAGTAGAGGAGTCGGGGAAGGCTTCCAGACGGACGACACTGACCCCCTGTGGTTCCCAGCAGCCAGTAGTTAGTCTCAGGGAAGCTTATTGCATAATTGTTGAGTCAGCGGGACACATCTTCTGTGAGGTTAAGTGCCTGTGTATGTTGGCGGCCTTTAAAGTAACCTGAAAAATCATTTTCATTATAAACAATAATGATAAAATATTTGATCTTCAAATTCATTACAACCTTCTTTTACTCCGTCAACCTGGATGGACAAATGAGTTTAACCAATTTTCATTGTCTTCATAATAATAAATACTGACACTTTAAGATGCATTAATTGTTTTTAATTATTTACAACACAAACCCGATGTACCAACTGAGATGATACTGACTTGAAAAATAAAAAAATAAAGAGCACATTTAGAGTTTTATACGCCACAATATATTCTACAAAAGACTCGAGTCCACTTTACAAATCTCCCTGTTGACACTTCCGCAGCAGCGTCAGTGTCTCTCGGCTGAACTCGTAGGTGAGCTTCTTCTTCACCTTGAAGATCTCTCCGGACCGGGAGTAGTTCCTGAGGGCACGGGACATCTTCTGGTAGGTCATGGGCCTCTTGTTGCCCTTCCTCTGGCCCCACAGTGCCGCCACCTGGTGCTTGTTTGTGGAGGAGAAGCGGAAGACGCCGGCGGCCGCCGGCACCCAGGACACGCAGTGGGCCATGTTCGGGTCCTCCAGCATCTCGAACAAAAAGTGATAGAGGCGCACCTTTCTACCTGCAACCGCTGTGCAAACAGGGACTGGATGAAAAGAAGAAGGATTTTAGGGAATATCACATCAGCTGCGCCTCTGCAAACCAGTTGCTGATTACAGTTAATAATTTCCTCTAATGCAACGATTGCCGGACAATCTCACCACACCTGGGATGGGCATTTAGAGGAAAGGGTTCACCTGTGAACACTGCGGTTATCTGACATGTGACGGGTGAAAACAGCTATTGGGCCAAGCCCGGCTGAGCCCCACCGTTTTCCTTTGCAGTAAAAGGGAAAGCCTCTCATTGGCTCTCGCGGTGTCGTGTTGCCCGGCCCACCAGCACCCTGGGCAATAACAGCGTCTAGTGACCACAAACAGAAAAAAGAAGAACTCACCCCTCCCCGCTGTGTGTTTGCTTGGTTGTCTCGCTGATGCACAGTTCAGGTGTGAGCCGCGCTCACACAATGCGGTTGTTGTGTTCTGGCTGAGGCCCGGTGGGGCATCGTGTGCCAGAAAAGGCTGCAGGGCCGGTTTCACGCTCTTTAATGAAGGAAACACATTATTAAAGGCTTGGTTATGTGTGCACGCTTGACTGCAAGTGGCGCGGCAGAGTGTCATTTCTGTTTTTTTGTACGCCTACAGTTGGCTCGCTGCACGTCCAGTGCGCCTCGCACGACCCTTCGTCCGCAGGTGCGCTTCTTTCGTCCTCAGGCTCCACCGCAGTGCAGTACACATCGTCCCCTGTGAAGAGCGAAACGAATGCTCACAGACCGAGAACACGTTAGCCTAAAAGTACATTAAATTTAAATTTCTTACCGTGTCCTCCAGTGTGTCTGTAGTAGTCCTCCAGGAACTCTAAGATCACCTCCAAATCAGACTGAGTCTCCTGGAAAGAATTCTGATAGAGATAAATCATTTAAAAACAGCCTCGGATATTGCATGTATTAATTAAAATTCTAATTGTAACGTCATCACTGCAAATGTCCGCTCTTTACCATGATGGAGGAGGCTGAACGTGACGCATCCACGCGGTTTGGGAGGCTTTCACAAAACTGAGTGGGAGACGGACTCTTTTTATACCTTCCACCCAACGGGGTTTTCTCAATTGCACCAGAAGTCTTCTACCCAAGGCTCACAGGAACAATGACGACCATCCCACAAAAGCCCCCGACACCCAGCACCAGTCAACCCATCAACAAAGCCCCGCAGCACTGACCACATCCTCCCCGCTGAAGCAGATAAGACCCGGGCCTGCAGGCACACAATGCTCTCTCTTCAGGAAAAACACACTTGCTGCCATATTTTTCCTCACAGGATGTGTCTTCATTTCATTTTGTAGTGCGCTCGTTGCAGTATTTCACCACAGCGGAGACGGTTCCAAATCTTTCGACACAGTGATAGCGCCGGGGTGAGCGTCCGTTGTTGTCGAGTCAGTTAAAAAGAAACACTACTGAGGGTGCACGGATCAGTTTATTGGTTGTTTTGAATTGAAGTAATATTCTGAACACATGTAAAGTTAAGTACAAAAAGGAATGATATTAAAAACAAATCTCAAACAATAAATATAATAATTATAAAACAATAGTTTTATCAAGAAAACTGTCAAGAATTACATATCATCATAAATATTATAGATATTTATTTATGGCTGCATGTTGTAAATACGGGAGACTGAAATATGAATTGTTATTAATGTTATGAAATAATCAGAATAATCTCTACACACTCCAGTTGATGACATTTTGTAATTCATATTTTGTAGTGTGAAAGTATTTACCATTAATTTAGAAATACAGTTTATTAATCTAGACACAATTTTACTTTCTGTGACTCAAATAGTGAAACTATGACATGTGATAACATTGGATTAACAAATATGTAACCACTCTCCGAAAGACCTCCCGTCAAGTATCTTCATTAGTGCAATAAAAAAAAATGGCAAAGCCAACCAGTTACGTCCACACCATCTGGTACAATACATACTGGCCAGTAGCTGCAAGACAAATGTAAGCCTTTGCTTTACTAAAAATATTTTTACAAAAGCATCTTAAATTCCATCAATTTAGTGAGAAAAAAACAGAAAGAAAGAAACAGTTTGATTTGCGTGGCCCCTTCGGCTGGTTTCACAGTCAATCTAATTAAAGTCTCTCCCCCCCTCTCCTCCCCCCAGCTCAGAGCTTGACGGCGCTGGGTGAGGTGAAGCTGGAGGCCAGGTCGTAGTCTTCCTGCAGTTGGCAGCGTCCGTACCAGCTGTGCCAGTCCGGCGCCGTCACGGGGCCGCAGTAGCTCTCCTCCGCGGGGCTCTTCTGGCCCCCGGCGTGGCCCCCGGCGTGGCCCTCCTCCTGCTCGGGCACCCGAGTGGAGCCGAGCCTGTGCAGGATGTCCGGGCTGAAGCGGTACGTGAGTTTGCGCCGCACTTTGATGATCTCCCCGGTGCGGCTGTAGTTTCTCAGGGCTCTCGCCATCTTCTGATAGGTCATGGTCTTGCGGTTGCCCTTGCGCCGGCCCCAGCACTCAGCCAGCTTCTCCTTGTTCTTGGAGACGAAGTGAAAGGTGCCCGTGCTGTTGTCCGTCCACTGGATGGAGTCGCCCATGTTGGGGTCATTCAGAGCCTCGTGGAGATACTCAAAAAGTCTGAGCTTCTTGCGACCTGAGGGCGTTGAGTTGAGTTTTTTTTACTCACAAAAAGAGAATCACTCGGGGCATTTGATTAGAGAAAACCACGACGTGGTTACCTTTGCTGCTCTTCAGTGGAGGTAAGATGGAGTAGTAATGGGGTGGTTCATTTTGCATCGAGTGGCCCAAGGAGACATCGGGGATCACCTGAGGCCAAGACTGCTGCTGAAAGGCCAAAGTTTTAATATAATTGCCCCCCAAAAATTCTTCTTTCCAAGTATTTCACCCTGATTTAACTCCCCCCCCCCCACACACAAAAACGTAGAGGCATTTTGCTCCACTTACAGCTATGTCCGTCCAGTAGTCACACCCTGGAGCTGCTACATCAAGCGGCTGTTTGACGGGGCAGCACGAGCACGGACAATGCAAGGACGATGCCTGCGGCGTACCCAGAGTCTCGTAATATGTGCACACTGAAATGAACAAATTAAGTCGTCATTCTCTCCAGAAATATTCAAATCCATCAAAGAAATTGACATGGCTTTTTGTTTATATAATTAAAAAGGAAGATGTTCTGGCATAAAACCATGAAAGCACAGCATTTTGTTAAGTATTTTTGTATTAAATAATTTCCTCTGTACCTGAATCGTAATATGAATTGCTTGAATGTTGTTGAATCACATCAATCGCATCCTGGAAGTGTTGGTTGATGTCCAAAGAGGTCTTAAATAGAAAGAAAAACTTAATCTGACCCGCAAAAAATTGTTATTCTTCCATTTTAACAAGTACATTAATTAAAACCCACAAAGTGATGAAACAATGAGACTAATTCTTCCAGAAACCTGTGGGGGAAAATGAGCGACGCGATCTTTACAACTCACCATCTTGTATGTCTGAGCGCTGCCCTCAGCTGAGGCCATTTCTGTCTAAAGGTGAGCACTGATGGACTAGTGCAGGTGTGGACAGGTATATTTATACGTATGCATCACACCTCCAATACCTGTTCATCAAAGGGGAGAGAGAGAGGCCGGTCGATTTAAATGCACTTACGTCACAGTGTGCTGTACACTTCTTCTTTTTTTTGTTTTTAAAGCGGAGAGCAGCCGGACTTCAGAACATCTCTGAGTCTCTCAAAGAGATCACAATCTACGAACAACAAAAATATCTTTTATTGCACCACCCGGCCAGGAATACCACCGATTCTGAGTGTGACCTGAGAATTTGCATAGCGGGCGAGACGTGTGTCCAACATGCACATCTATAATCGCTGCTGTTTACTAATCCTCTTTGCGCTCATTGGCAATTGGAGCCTTCACAATTGCGGGAATTGGTCCTGTGTGGTGCCATTGTTTTCTGGTCATGAATTTGAGGGAAAGAAAGAATATTTGCATGAAGGGTGTCCCTGCGGTGGGGTTCTGTTATTAAAACACTAACTGGGTGTGTAACCACTAAGTAACATTAAACCAACCATTCATCACCGGTTAGTTTCAATTTAATTTAATCTTTTATCTTTTTTTATTTGAAATATCAAAAACGTATAATTGACTGTTTTCAATTTATTCTCTAATTATACTATGACGGAAACTGAGTAAGAGTAATGAAAAACAAGTGCAGTGGTTAGAATTAACATTTACTTCCCCCAGAAAGCACCATGAATACTGTTCGATCTTGCTTGTGCCCAAACATAAATCTTTGTTCCTCTTCTCACTTTTTTATTTCTTTACTACACTCTGGATCACTCATAATTATTTAAGGGCCATCTATGTGGTTTCTGACTTTAGGAGGTTTATTGTACTCTCCTTAAAAATATGCTGTGAAAGTTTGAATGCATCTGTTGGAAAATGTTTGTTTTTTTGTGATAAAATCCTGTAGATTTGTTTATTATCTTATTGTTTATTTACTACCCTTATTAGATCAGTATAAATGTCTGTCGGGCTGAAGGAAAAAAAGATTGTGACCATTTGTGTTTCCAATTGACCAGAAAGCCGTAAACCGCTTCAGATAAATGTGATTGTAAAGGTTAATGGTTAATAATGTGGTGATGATTGTTAAACCCAGCCTCTGTTTTTGTGGCTGCCACACAGCCAACCCCCCTTTACAAATAAACAAATTTTCAGAAGTGCATTTATCTCAGGTGTGTGTTTTAAATACCAACTGACATGCTCCTGAAGTTCCCCATTTCAGCCCAGTCAAGTGTGGTGTCAATCAGGCTTAAAAAGTCCAACTGAGCGCTACATGGAAACAAATAATTGGAGATGCATCTTGTTTGGAAAAGACAGAATTAGTTGCATTGTTAATCACAAAAAGACTTTTGCTCGCATTATAGAAACTTGTAACAGCACATTCAACTATTGTGTGTGTGTGTGTGTGTGTGTGTGCACGCATGAGGAAGCATGCAAATGTGTGTGTGTGCATGCCAGAGAGTGGCACACGTGTGTGTTTCCTGCCCGTGTGACACGCTGATATAAAACAAAGAACCACAAACCCCACTCGCTCTTTCCCTCCATTCGGGGTGAAACTTCTGTCAAATCAACCCTATAAATTAAAGGCCTCAACCTGTCGGGCTGCAGCCGGAGCCTGACAGATGTGCGCTGGTGTTTTCACAGCTGCAGCGTCGGCTCTGTCGCGCTGCATTAGAGTGGTTTTTGGGGGTCTTAAAGAGATAATTCAATGCTCATTTGTAAAAGGTCAGATCAGTTATTACTCCAATGTTTAGCTGCCAACAACATGGCCTCAGGTTTGGCAATATTGGTCCACCGCTTTGGTTTAGAATAAAAAAATATATCAACTGTTGGCTTGAAATTGTGCTCAAACATTCATCATCCACAGCGAATGTCTAAAATCTAGATGCAAGTTCATCCCAAACTACATGTGTGACCAAACATCTGCAGAACTAATGACTTCAATGACTACCAACAGTCTCAGCTACACTTTGTTAGCATGCTAACGCGCTAAGATACGATGGTTCACATATTTCAGTTTGTCTGCTTGGTCTATTCTGTTATCTTATCTTCTATTCTGGATGTGTTGTAGGATTTTCTCTTCTATTACCATTTTATTCTACTTCATTTGTTTGTGATCCTTTGTTTCTGTTGAGAACTGTTAGTTGTATTGTTCATCCTCCACCATACTATATCTGGGTTTTTGCAGTGTTGTACTATTTTCTATCATAAATCATATTTTATTGCTTTTTTTGCTTTTGTTTTTTATAAATTTATTGGCTCTATGACATTTTGTTCGACTGAATATAAATAGTTACGTATTATAAATATTTTGTCTTTTAAATCGCTGATCTCCATTTGGTGATGGAAAATAAAGAACCAGCAAAATTACTGAGACTGAGACTTTTTGTTAGGGAAAATTATGTAAATAAATAATATATAATCTGATTTGAAATGACGATTATACGTATATCTTTTCACACATTAGAATAACGTTATGCTTTAGATGGTGCATTTGTTGCTATAATCCATACGTTACAGTTGAGCGTGTCAATAAATCCATGTTTATTTTGCGTTGCGATGAAAGAGACATTCATGTCCGTCCATGAAGGTGTTTTTTTTTTGTCATAGCAGAGACGCAGCAGCTTTATCTGCAAACAAAGAAGCGCTTTCCTTCCTCTTCTCAATTCAATGGCTGCGTGCATTTCGGCACCGATGTGGGAACGGCAGGCTAACCACAGCACAGTCAGCCCCATTGTTCTTCTTTATTTACTGGCACTCGATAACAATCAAGAAGTGTCAAAGCCACTGGTATACATTTAGTCTATCGGGCTGAATGCTGGTGTGACCGCAGAGTTATACTCTTTATCTGTTAGATTGTGTTCGTGTCCAAAATAAGCTGCAAAGTGTTGTCTGCTTTATCATTTTAAGATTAACATTTTCGTTTTTTTGTTTTAATCTTTAATAAACTTGTTGTGGTTGTCGTTATTTCAGAATGTGCCCTTTTGTTATCCACAAGTAAAACAGGTTTTATGGTAGAATGTAAAAAAACAGAGAGAGGGATTTAGCAGAAGAAAAAGTTCCTTAATTGAACACTGTTAAATGGTCCTGTCGTCCCTTAAATACGGTATTGCTGTTAGATGAGTGACTCAAATGGTATAGAGGGACCAGCAGACGGCAGGACGGAGCATTATAAACAAACACATAAAATAAGTAACTGCTCTCCTGTTGTTTACTCCTTTTAAGCAACACAGGTACATGCCGGTAAATCAATTGTAAAAGTATCTAATGGCTAAACACGGTTTAGCCATTAGATACTTAGGGTTAGAAAATACTAACCCTCTCTCTCTCTCTCTCACACACACACACACACTCAAGGGGCGTGGTTAACCACCGCCAGTTCGTATGTATCACTACGAATTTCTATGTCAAATATTTTGTATACATTTTTACGAAGAGGTTTTGGAGATCACGTTGCTCGTGTTGTGTTCTGGTTTAATCAATAAAAGACACAATCACACAAGGAAGCATCAGCAAAACATTTCAAATTTCAGGATTCTTTAAAATTCTACTTTCGCATGATTTTACATTCCAGGTTCACATCTCGGAGATCAGAGATTTATTGAATACAGAAAAGCAAAGGCCGTGAGCTGAGGTAGCACAAAACGAATCTGAACGTGTTCAACCGTAATACAAAGGGGGAAGGAGTCAAATCCTCAGAGAGTTAAGTGGAATATTTTCATTTGGAATAGATTTGAAAACCTGTGTTGAGAGCGGGATCGGGGGGAGGGGGGGGGGGGGGGGGTGAAAGAGAATACTTTTCGCAGGAGGGCACAGCGCCGTAAGCCACCACTCCCACCACGGCCACTAAAGCGGCGCCTCCACACAGCAGCTCGGTGGAGCTCAGATGTTTGGGGGTCTTGGGAGTCTTGGGGGTCTTGGGAGCGGGCGGCCGCGGTGGCTCCGGCTTCTCCGGTGCCGCTCGGGGGGACTGGAGCGAATGTTCCTCGGCGTCCGACAGGGGAATCTGTGAGAGCCTCAGCGGCCTCCCTGACGGAGGGTCCGCGGCCACCTGTGCGAGGATGGAAGGAGGTTGGAGGCCGCGGGCGGCGTAAAGCTCCTCAGCTTCGGAGCCCGCGGTGGAAGGGACTGGGGTGGACGTGGTGGAGGGGGGGTCGAGCTTGACGATGGGCAGAGGAGGCAGCGCCATCGGGGGAACCACCTGCATGAACTCCGCGGGCTTCTTTTCCACGCGGGGCTCCTCCGCCGACACCAGGAGCTCCTCAGTTTCTGGGGCGCGGAGGTCCTGCTCCTCCTCACTGAGCTCCACCAGCTCACCCTCCCCACCCAACACACTCAACGCGCTCGTCCGCAGCTCCTCGTCGTCTTCCTCCTCCTCCTCCTCGGTTCTCCTGGCCCTCTCAGCCTCCTCGAGCATCTCGGCCTCCTCCCGCTCCAGGTGGACCATGTCGGAGTTGTGGGAGTGGTTCTCCTCCCCGCCCAGAAGCGCCCCGTCGTTGCTGTCCAGGCTCTTGGTGTCGTCGGGGTCCGCGTCGCCCATCGTGGACCAGGACTCCGCCAGCAGGCTCTCGCTCTGCCAGGGTCCGGGGCTCTCTGCCTGGGTCAGAGGCAGCGCGGCGGGGACGAGGGAAGCAGCCTCCCCGCCTCCTCCATCAACCGGGGCCTTTCCCTCCAGGATGAAGACCGGCTGCGGAAGGGAGAAGATACGGATTATGTGGTGTACCTGTAGTTCCATTGTGTAGTACTGGGTTCTTCACTGTTTCTTGCAATAAAGTTATTTTTATTGTGATCATAATACTCTGTGGCTCTTAAAGCCGTTCCACAATTTACAATAATGTGCTTTCACACAGAGTTTGAGGCCTACATTTAACTTAAATTTAATGAATTTATTATTGTTTTATATAATTGTATTTTACTCGTTGTACTATTTTCATTTGCTGCTTTTAAAACAATTTCTCCTTATATTTCGTCTACCATTCATGGTGAATTACTTTTTTTTGTTTTGAAAAGTGCTACTGTATCATTTACATATGGCCGTATTATTATTATTACTTTATCAGCGACTGCTTTGTCACAGGTATAATTATTATTATTTTTTTTTGTATCTGATAATTTGAGATATTACCAACGGAAAATGCATCTTTAATCTTTGTGTTTGTGGAAGAGGAATAATTTGACACTCATTTGCTTACTTTGTAAAAGTCAGAGTAGAAGATAGAGCTTCAAAAAGCTGCTCATTTTTAAGATCTGTGTTCTTACAAATTAAACTTGGCTTAAATCTATGAAGGGGTTTGGAACTACAGAGTGGTCGTCTTGTAGCGGTTAAGAGACGCGTCCTGAAACTGGGAAAAACACAAGACCGGACACGTGTTGGTACACGGAGGAGGTCTATTCTGGGGCGTGGGGGCAAATTCTGCAATCAAAGCTGAAACGTGGCACGAGGCGTGAAGACAGTCCCCTTGATACTGATTTTAATCCTCACAAACATACAAACAAATGTGTGCGCTCATCATCCACAATCTTTAAAAGGTGTTTTTTTTTTCCAGAAGCAATGATTACATTCAGTTGAGCTAAAATATTGAAGGCAAGTTGGCGGTGTTTCCGACGTTATGAACATGTCACTTCCATTCCATGTTCCTGCTCTTGTTCGATTCTCACGTCATGTGAAATCACTGAAATAGCTTCCACTCTTGGGTGACAGATGCAGGTGTAAATATAGTCCCTAAACAGAGTGAGATATGCAGGTCGAGGCTAAAGATAGTCACAGCCGCCGCAACACGGTGCGGCCAGTGAGCAACTTTTTCCAGCCGCGGCCTCATTGATGTCCATGAGATCACCGACGCGTTCCGATGGTTGCAGATCAAGACTCTGTTCCTGCTCATCAGTCAGTCCACAACAACAGAAAGCGACAGGGTCAATATGTGATACAGACTGATTAGATCTTCACTTAAAACTATGTTTGTGCTTTCTTTTTTCAGATATCCTTATATTGACTTCATATTGTGTAATGTACATTTTACAGTTTAACTTGGGAAGTGGTGTAAGTACTTTTAGCAAAAAGAAACAAAACAAAAGAAATGTACAAAGGAGAAGTGACAAAGTTAATGTTTACGTCTGCATGAAATTATGACCAAAAGAAAACACTGGCTTTTTGGGGATTGCTACATATGTGTGTAATTTTCTGTCTTTCTTTCAGGTTTCTTGTCTTAAAATCTGCCATTATTTTTCCTTTTAAACTAAAATGACCAAAAAGCAGCGAACACGTGTCTGCCTGTTTGCAGGATTGTTAATAACTGTTGCTGCGTGGCGTCATTCCCCCCGTTGTTAAAGGTGGAACACATCTGGATCGTTTGTTAGGAACCCATCGAAGGGTTGCAAGATGAAGCAAATTCACATTTTTGCTTCAAGAGATTATCTGTAATTCCTCAGACTTCATTTTGGATCTTTGCTTTCTTTCATGTAAAATATACTTTTACAGTCTTAGAAAGGACAAAAATAACAGATAGTGATGTGAAACCAGATGAGGATGGTTTTAATGGATGTTCTTCTTGGGATTATCCAACCCCACTCACATCTAAACATTTTGTGTAAGTACGTCCTCTTGGTAAACGAAGTGTGTTCTCACAGGGGAATAGTCACTTTAAAAAAAAGAAGTCATACACTCACTCGGATTGCAAGGCTGAAAACCTGAACAGAATGAATTTAAAGTATGATGTAATGTCTTGAATGCACGTCGCCACTGATTGAGCAACTCGCTGTCATGCCGTCCGACCCGAGCCGTGCTGATTTCAATCCCCCGAAACATTCAGGTTTGCCACGCAAACATTTCAAACCGCACACCTTCGTTCATGCCTGCAAATAAACCAATCAACCGTTTCTACTCCGTGACCCCCCCTCCACTTCACCTGCTGGCCTACTTGTGTAATTGGATTCCCATTGATCCTTTCTCAGCAACAACAGCCGCATGCTGTAAGTAAATGACCAGGTAGATTCAGGGCACCCTGACTGTGCAGTATGCGCATCCCAATGTGGGATGAGGACAGAGGGATGTCATGCACAAGGAAAGCCTGACAAACCAGGTGTTCATGGCGGCCTTTAACAAGGTGAGATTTTGCCCTTGACCGCAGCGGAGTGAGCCGCCGCTCTTTAACCCAAACGCCTCTACTCATCACAAACCCATAACAGAGGAAAATCAGATTTGCACTCAAGGTACATTCTTCTTCCGTTCCCCCACCCGTTTCAGGCTTTGTTTAAAAAACTCCCTGCAATGTGAATTTTAAAAAACAACAACAACTACCCATCGTACCTGCGTCCTCTTGGTGCGATGCCGGACGAGCTGCCGGGCGTGAAGCAGAGGCTGGAGATCAGAGCGAGACGCACATTCAGACACAGAGCCGCTGAACAGCAGACGGGCAGAAATGCACGCTGACGCCGGCACTGGAGTAACAAGATGGTGCAAAAGCCTCCCTCTCTCTATCTCTCTCCCCCTCTCTCTCTCTCTCTCCCTGTCACCCACCCCACTTCCCAGGTCCATGACATAACAGTTGGCTGCAGAGAGGTCAGTGGTGACTTTGCTCATAATGAGAAAGGTTAGTAATAATGTAAATAGGGAGAGAGATTTGTTGTTGAACTGTTGAATAAGACTTTACCCTGTTTTTCCCCCGCAGTCACCGAAAGGTCGACGAAGGTCAGTGGGGGAGAGTTTCACGCGGGTAAACAAGTCTGCAGAGTTTCATGTTCCCATGCAGCAGAGGATCAGCCGCTCCGCGGTGTGTTGCTGTGAGCCGGTGACGCCGAGTGGAAAAAGAATGTCAGGCAGGAAGAAGAGCTATTTCTAGAGATGGACTTTACAAGTTCTACTTCCCTCTACTGGTCACACGTGTAGCAAGAGGTTAGCAGGTTTTTACACGGTTCACTTGCACAGCACAAACATGTATATCGTGTGCATGTGCAGTGTTTTTATGAGGAAAACAATAGCTGTCCCAACACTGTTCTCTTTCTCCGGCCTTATACTTACTTAATTAATTTCACATTTCGGCTTTGTGTAACCATCGGATTTTCAATATTGTGTTACTTCTTTATCTATATTTCTCCTCTCTGGTGTTCTCTTTCACATCGTACTTTGTCTGTTCTATGCCGGGAAAACAGTTGTGTTCATTAAGAGCTGTGAAACTAAAGTTGACTGAAGCCGGAAACCGGAAAAGAAAAGCTGAAACAAAAATGTAATTTCATACTCAGATCTGTTCATGAAAATACCGTCATGGATCAAAAAACATGTTTGAGTATGCATTGCAGGAAAATTAATATTGTTATTGGAACACGTTTTAACAATGCAATTAAAATAAAGAAGAGGAAATGGGATGAAAGGTTTGGACCAAATTGCTGTTTACAGCTACTTGATAAAAGGCTGTGTTACTTTTACTCCTAGCAGAGACAATTAGGTTTGTAAATTTACAATCATCTGAAGACAAATTTACTATATTAAGAGAAAAACAGTAGTGATATAGTGATAACCAAAGTTAAAACTATACATGATTTCTTCAAGACCAGATTAAATATGTTTACACAATATAAGTCAGAAATGTACAATATACAGTTAACAAATGACACACAAAATATGTATTTATTTTTTAGTTTTATACAAAAGCATAAAAACTAATACATGACATAATTATTTCAAAATGAATGATCCATTTTACTTAATTTTTATAGTTAAGTGATCTGATAGGAAAATGAGAAGAAGAATTCAAACAAAACAAAACAAATGTAAATTAAACCCATAGGTTAGTAAAAACTATGACAACAATAAACAAAGATACACCTGAAGTCGTATCGATATTGTAAACATATTGTATTCATATATTCATATGCAGTATAACTAAATGAGTCATTAAATAAGAAATAAAACACAAACCCTTGTATTCTGCACCAGAATGAGCTGGTCTCTTTTGCTAGCACCTGATTGGCTGCTCAGCCGGAAGTAAACATCACGTGACCTCGCCGATCACCTGATCCTCCGTAGACATCTTTACGAGTCACGACTGCTGCGATTAATTCATCCCTCTTCGTCTGTGATTTTCGGGTAAATAAACGTACATTCGAAGCTGTCGTTGCTCGATTAAAATGCCGAAAGTGTCTTTTATTTGCCAATTGTTTTATTTGACGTGTTTTGTCGTTGTCTTTCCTCGAAGGCCCGCGCGGATCTTTGACAGCAGCAACGATGGCGCTCAGCGATGCCGACGTTCAGAAGCAGGTAACGAAGCGGTTTAACCTTCACGGATGTCCCCGCGCGTCTGCTTCCCCTCGGCGGCTCTTACCGGAGTCTTTACGCCGTCGGTCGAGCTGTTTAAACCCCGACAGACGTGTCCGAGGTGGCTGTGAAGCGGGATGACATTGAGAGAGCTGCGGTAGCTTAGCACCCAAATAAACACCAAACGCTAGCAGACGTTTCTTAGGACGATTTTTTACTGGTGCTGTAAAATGCGGCTTAGACCGATAATAATAATAATACGTCTTTTGTACGGCAGTGTTGTTTTGGCAGCATTGGTGGGAAGTGATGGCCCAGATGTCGAGGTTCATATTTTCCAAAATGATCACATGATGAACACATGAGCCTGATGAGGAACTGGGAGCGAGTGAGCCAGACTGTAAATAACCTCAGTGTTACACCATTGGTTGAATGTGTTTTTAATTAAGAATACATGAGAGGTACCTGTGATTTATGCAGCTTTATACTTCTACTCATCCTGCCTTTCGGATCGGCTGTGAAATCTATCCTCCTGAAAACTGAAATACGCAACGATGCTACAAACATGTGATTATCAACTAGAATATGACTCATTGCTGTGGATCAAACTACCCAACAGCACGTAGAGGAGAGGCAACCGCTACGCTGTAAACGCCAACATAATCATTCATGCAGCAGTAGTACAAATCCAGAAACATCAGGGTAACACACACACACAAATATATGACATAGAGTAGTACGTAGTTTCACTTAAGTAAAGAATCTGAATACTCCTTCCGGTAGTGACAGAAACATTATTCACCCCTGTGATGGAGGAGTCCGTTCGCAGCCGGGTGAGGAATCCTCTCTATGTTTCATTATGAAGGCGGTGAAGCCTTGCAGCACACAAGGGTTGTGACGCATGGCGAAGCTGTGTGCCTTTACAACCCTGCACGTGTAGAGAATGGCTTGTATTTGGGATGTAAGAAAGCCTCTTCTTCGTTATCACTAATGTTTCTTCTTCCTGTCCTGCAGATCAAGCACATGATGGCCTTCATTGAACAGGAGGCCAATGAGAAGGCAGAAGAGATCGATGCAAAGGTCAACGCTTTGCAATAATACGGACAGACTAGAATGAATAATTAATCGGTCCTTTTTGGGACATTTTACACTTTTATTTGTGAGTCAACAGTAGAGGAGAGCAAAATGCAGAGTAGTATCCATCATTTCCTGTTTGAGACTGACCACTAGGGGCACTAAAAGCACAGAGATGCACTCTATGAACGTGTGTACTGGCAGATTTCTTTTAGAAATGAGACATCTGTTTGCGTGTGAAATAAACATATGGACTAATATTTGATGATGAGAATCCTTAGTTTTAACTGTAGCTTAAAAAAATATATAAACAGATTTTGGGGATTTAATCACCACAACGAGATCAATCAATTTTAAATGACCCAACATTTTAATACAACAAACAGTGTTATGATGCCGGCTGTCTGCTGAGTGAATTGTGTCTCCTCCTGCAGGCGGAGGAAGAGTTCAACATCGAGAAAGGCCGGCTGGTCCAAACTCAGAGGCTGAAGATAATGGAGTACTACGAGAAGAAGGAAAAGCAGATCGAGCAGCAGAAGAAAATGTGAGTCATGGGGGGGGTCCATCCATCCTCCCCTCCGCCTTTTTTTAACAACTTCCCACACTCTATTTTCGTCTCTTTGTCCAACAATGACTCCTTTGTAACCCGTAACCGCCTCGAACGGTTTCCACGCAAACTGATAGAAGTCTAAACGCCGCCGCCGTGTGTGTTATTTGTCCACTCAACAGCCAGATGTCCAACCTGATGAACCAGGCTCGACTGAAGGTGCTGAAAGCCAGAGATGACATGATCTCGGTAAGCTGCTCAGCGCCTGTCGTCGTCACCCGGTCAGAATTGTACCACAGGAGAGAGCTGCGTAAATAAGAGGGACCCTCCGTGTGTCTGTTCCCTCAGGAAATGCTGAGCGAGGCGCGCCAGCGGCTCGGGAACATCGCTAAAGATCCGGCCAGGTATCCCGGCCTGCTGGACGGGTTGATTTTACAGGTTGGTTTAAACCCTGTGCTCCTTCTACGACCAGGTACAGACCTGCGGCAAAAACACATCCCCGTGACGGTAGAAGCGTTCCGGGTACTCGATAGTAGAAACCTCCATCCCATTACAATTCAGCAGACTAACTACAAACTAACGTTCATTAAACACCAAAACTGGAACATTCGGATCTCCATGAAGGAGGATTGTTGGAGCAGACTTCGTTTTAATGAGCTGTACCTAATAAACTGGCATCTGAGCGTATTCATGTTCAGTACTGAATATTGATACCAAGTTCCTAACCTTTCACATCAGGGATTATATCAGCTTCTGGAGTCCAAAGTGACCATCCGCTGCCGTAAACAGGACTTTCAGATGGTGCAGGTGAGTAAATTAGCGACACTCGGTTCACATTTACATTCATGTTTATCCATTTCAAACTCACCCGAGGAATCCGAATCGGGTAACAACATTGGCTGCAGGTTGAACAAGGATTGTTGAAATGTGATTTGTGTATTTCGACCCAGGCGTCCATCCAAAGGAGCATTCCTGTATATAAAGCGGCTGTGAAGACCAACGTGGAGGTCCGCATCGACCAGGAGAACTTCATCTCCCCCGACGTGTAAGCAGCGCCACAATTGGCCGCCGAGTAAAAACCTGCCGGATGAGCGTTTCTCTCACTTAGATTTCTCCCGTTGTGGCGTTTGTCTCCCGCTGCAGCTCCGGGGGTGTTGAGATCTATAACGGTAACGGCAAGATAAAGGTGGCCAACACCATGGAGAGCAGACTGGAACTCATGGCTCAGCAGGTTGGGAAATCGCAACTCCTCCAATAATATATGAATCTTCTTTTATTCATTACCGTGTGTCTATTGTGTGTTTGGATTTTGTGACTCATTGTGACGCACTCTGTGAGCCTTTCCTGGTTAAACAAAGGTCAAATGAATTCACAAATTGCTTTAATGGACAAAAATCTAATTAGCTTTCAAAAGGGGTCTGAAGTTGTTAACAAACTCCCATCAGACAGAACGACATTAGCGTAGCTGTCACGTTAGCCCAACTTTACATTTTGTACACAAGGTACTCTAAATTATGCCAATTTCTATTTTTATATACTTAATATGTGTGTAATAATTTTATTGATTTATTGTTTGGTCCGTCTTGTTATTGAGTTACATACTTAAACAGAAGGCAGGATTTACATCATAATATAAACACAGCGTACGACATCAACAGAACATAAAAAAAGAACCTACAAAAACTGTCATGATGTTTGTTAATTGTTTTATACTTTGATCTTTAAGTGTCACTTAAAGCTATTTGTACATATAGACCATACAAGCATTTCCTTTTAGTTTATCAAATATTTTATTATGTTTTGTCTTTTGTCCAGGACACTGACAGACGTGAGAAGTCTCAATAAGACGTTTGTGGTTAAAAAGAAGTCAAAGAATAAGGAGTTAGCTAGTGTACCGCTAGTCTATATTTGACTTTCTTCATATTAATGTTCTATATGCAGCTTAATTGAGCAACTGTTTTATTTATTCATTGATCAAAAGTGAAAAAATCATCTATTTTAATCACTTTCTCGTTTTAGCAATTTCTCAATAAATAAAAGTAGAGCATTCCTTTGCTGCAGATTATTAATTATGACTTTCTACATCTTTCTACACAAAACCAAACATTTGAACGCGTGTCCTCGGGTTTTATAAAACAGTGTTCTGAACAATTTCTGGACCGAACTATTAACAGAGAAGTCTTCTAGTTGCAGCTTATTGACCTTGTGTGTGTGTGTGTGTGTGTGTGTGTGTGTGTGTGTGTGTGTGTGTGTGTGTGTGTGTGTGTGTGTGTGTGTGTGTGTGTGTGTGTGTCTGCAGATGATGCCTGATATCCGGGTGTCCCTCTTCGGTGCCAACCCAAACCGCAAGTTCCTGGACTAAAGAGCTCCGCCTCCTTGGAGCGAAAAACTCCAACTTCCCCCCCCTATTTTTTTTATTTTGTCACATGAAAAGTCATCCCTCTGTCCGTGAAACAAAAAGAGACGCATTGTTGTTGTGTGACGTGTTGCTGTATTTTTTCTGTGCGTCGAGGGCACGTGGTGGACGCCCAGCGGTACCGAAGTGCATTGTGGGTACCGGCGCGGCCGTTCAGTCCGCCGCTCCGCGTTCGACGGTCTCCTTGTTTACGACGCGATCAGCTGATTGGCTGGAGGTTGAACAGGTTGTCCTCCTAGATTAGATTAAGACAAACGCAGCGGCCGTGATCCCAGATTAAAAGTGGCACGGGTTATTGTGCTGCTAACGGATGCGCGCTCCAACCAATTACCGAGGGAATAATGGCGTCCTTCAAGCTCACACAGTTAATTTATTATTGTGCGGCTGATATCATTCCAGAGGGAGCGCCGGATGTATGTGACGTTTCCAGATTAAATTATACGTATGTGGGGTTTGTTTCTTTATTTCTTTCTCGTTTGTGTCCCAATCTTATGAGATGTGATATTGTGAAAAGTAAAACATAATAAAATATAAATCCTTAGTATCACGTCCAAGCTCTTTTTCTTTTTTTCTTCCTAGCTCAAACAATGTCCCAACATTTATTTTTGCAATCATGCTTCATTCATTAGTTTATCACATGGGGTTTGTTAGACAAAAATGGCCCAATTGTCCGGCGGCTCCGAGTATTTCGCTGACTTCCTCGACTGACAGCGGAGAAGAGACACCGGACACCACGAGCTCCCCGACTCGTAAGTATTCTCTTGTTAAAGTAGCTGTCCTTTTAAAAAAAAAAAAAAAAAGTTTATTATCACTTTCCTGCACTTTCCCCTCGGTTCACTTTCTTTAATCTCTGAAAGCGAAGCCGTTGCGTTGACGACCCTAAAACAAGTCCAAGCTGCGCGTCTCTGGTAAAAGGACCTAATGTCATTAGCGCGCGCGTCTCACAGAGCGACCCTTTCTTCAGAGCCTCGACCCGAGGCCGACCTGCTCTCCCGGGTGGCGCCACGGATCATGTTCTAGCGTCCGCCTGCTGCACAGCGAGGACATGGCGGTCCAAACCCCGCGGGCTCTGGTCTCCTGCGCGTCCCTCCTGTGGTTGGCGAGGGCGGCCGGCGGGATACCGTTCCCCGCGCAGAGGGACCTGCTGATGCGGCAGGAGGTGTCCAGGCAGATGGGAGGCGGCGTGACGCTGACGGCGGCCGAGCAGAAGCTGGACGCTGACCTCCGTCGCTTAAAGGAGCGAGAGATGTCCGCCGCGCGGTTCCCGCCGGCCCTCCACTTCTTCAAGGCCAGGCCTCTCATCCAGCAGAGCCCGGTCTTCAAACTGCTGCAGAAGATGCCCAAAGGTCAGACTGTATTTTGAGCTCGGGTCTACTTTGATGACTTCATGTGGTGTTTCGTTATACATGTTGTGGCTGGAAGCGTTGGACAGCATTCAGACTTTTCAGACTAACAAGGCTCACTTTGTAGACAAAGACGAGGTCATTTGAGGGGCCCCGAGGGGGAGGTCAAGGGTCGACCGTTTCATTATCCGCCCGCGGTCTTGATTTGATGCGACTCTCCGCCTCGAGTCTAAGGTTTCGTCCGGTTGCCTCGGTGACAGGCGCCGCGCTGCACGTCCACACCTCCTCGCTGGTCGGCGTGGAGTGGCTGGTGAAGAACGTCACCTACAGGCCCCACTGCCACATCTGCTTCACCTGGGACAACTCGGTCCGCTTCCTCTTCTCCGAGCGCCGGCCGTTCCCTCGGTGGGACTGCTTCTACTGGCAGCTGCTCGGGACCCTGAGGGCCCGGATAGGAGACACCTCGGGCTTCGATAACAGGTGGGAGTAAGACATCGGCCTCTCGGGCTGCGATGAAGCGGGAGAACTTCACCCCGACTGTTGTTTGCTTTTCAGTTTAATGCAGCACCTCACGCTGTTCACCGAGGATCCGGACGGCGAGTACCCGAGCCAGGAGGTGGTGTGGGAGAAGTTTGAGAAGGTCTTCATCGCGGCCGCCGGCCTGATCACCCACGCTCCCGTGCTGAGGGACTACTTCTACCGGGGCTTAGAGGAGCTCCTCCAGGACAACGTCATGTACCTGGAACTCAGGAGCGGCCTCTCGAAGGTTCGCGCTCTCGTTTGTGTTTGTTTCGTGCCCGACGCCCCCCCCCCCCGCTGAGAGGAGGCGGGGCTCCTCCTCTTAGCAGCAATGCTCGACCCGCTGTTCATTCGTGTGTTTCAGACGTATGAGCTGGATGGGACCGTTCATGACACGGCCTGGACCCTCAGAACCTTCCAAGAGGTCACACGGAAGTTCGTATCGGATCATCCGGACTTTCTCGGGGCTCGTGTCATATTTTCTGTGCACAGGTACTGAACACTTCTCAGATCTTATTGTACAATTACTCGTATTTTGAGTAGTTCTGTTCTTTTGAAATGGATGTTGGAATATTGTTTGAGTTGTAACAGATTTATACACAAGGACCAGATGGACTGTTTATGGTTTTTACTTAAGTTATTTATTGCATAAACATTTTATTCTTGTAAAGCACTTGAATTGTTATTATTGCAATGATTCTTTTTTGCTATGATGATAATATTTACTACATTTAAGAGATACATCCTCAATCATATACAGGATTTTAGGATTTAGGAACAATTTCCACACCATTCACATTTAACTGTTTTATTCAGTTGGTTGATATTGTGTAGCAAATTACATAAATCGTTGAAGGATCATCTTGACCATCAATGCATTTAGAGATAATATGCATTCATTTTGAATAGCTTTCATAGCATTTGGGGATTGGTGGTGGAAGTAAATCAGTTAAATCTACTGTATTAAAGGCGTGACTCTTATACAGTCTTGTACAAGTATAACGTACTATTTGCAGTACGTAATACTTATCTAAAGCGTGTTTAGTTCACCACGGCCTGATTGTAAAAAATCTTTGACATTCAGTTACAGAATGTAGTTTTTATAATCGTTGCTGCTCTCCTCAGGGCTCTGAGTGTCTCCGAGGTCAAAGCAGCTGTGAAAGAAGCCATTCAGTTGCAAACGGACTTCCCAGACGTGGTGGCAGGATTCGACATGGTGAGAAGAAATCCGCCTGGTTGAACCAGTTGGAAGTAAAACGCTATTTGTCGCGACGGTTTAAGTTGCTCATGGGCGAGCTGACGTCGCCGTCTGCAGGTCGGCAGGGAGGACGGCGGCCGCAGTCTTTGGTTCTTCAGGGACGCCCTTTCTCTGCCCGCTGAACTCGGGGTCACGCTGCCGTATTTCTTTCACGCGGGGGAAACAGGTGGTCGCACACAGAACACGACTCATAGTTACAAATCAGCAGCCGCTTTCTTAAAAGTTGAACGCAGCTTTTTAAACCTACTGATTTTTTTTTTCCTCCTCCTACTCGCCAGATGACGACGGCACCGACGTGGATCAGAACGTCCTCGACGCGCTCCTGTTCAACACCACGCGCATCGGGCACGGCTACGCTCTGGCGCACCACCCGCTCGCCAAAGAGCTTTCCAGGAAAAGGAACGTGGCGGTGGAGCTGTGCCCCATCTCAAACCAGGTGAGACAACCGGCTCTAAAAGCAGCACGTGACCTCTGACCCTCAACTGAGGAATCCTTACAAAAACGGCGCCTGTCTTCATACACAACGCCCGTCAATGTGTTTGACCTCTGACCTCCAGGTGCTGAGGCTGGTCTCAGACCTCCGTAACCACCCGGCGGCTGTGCTGATGTCCGAGGGTCACCCGATGGTGATCAGCTCCGACGACCCGTCTCTGTTCGGCACCACGGGCCTCTCCTACGACTTCTACGAGGCCTTTGTAGGCATCGGAGGATTGAAAGCTAACCTGGGCACTCTCAAAGAGCTGGCCCTTAACTCCATCAGGTGACCCCTTGATTTCATCCATCCCAGTTTCAAAGTATTAAGTAAGATGATGTTCATATCAACTGCTAGACACTGGAAGCATCGAATAATGGGATTTATAGAGTGTAGCCGTTTATTTTTAATCCAACAATTCACCCTTTACAAATAGTGCCACGTGTCTCCTGCTGCAGGTTCAGCTCGCTGCCGCCTCATCTGAAGGACAAAGGACTCGTCATGTGGCAGAAAAAATGGGACGCCTTCATCTTCCACCATTCATGACAACCAGACCGAATTCTCTCCCACATGATGGAAAAAGCAAAAGTGTGTATTTGGCCTTTGTTAAGCAACTACTACGCAGAAAGTGGACTTTAAAGCGGCATGCTGGGGAGAAATGAGACGCTCAAACATCCTGCTCTGCCCTGCGCGGTTCACAGCTGCCCACAGACAAGAAAAAGGGATTTTTACACACAAAATCTGCCATAGAAAATGTTCACTTTTGACTTTTTTGTATTCAGAACTTAGGAAAAGGAAGGTGTAACTGTATTGCAGTTAATTCTTTGGGGGGAAAAAATAAATATTTATCATTTTATGCCACATTTTGCTTGTGAATCCATGTTGTCCTTTGTCCCCCACCCACCGTGTCTTCATTGCTCCTTGATAAGATATTGAATTTTCCAGCTCTGACCGGTGCACTGCTGAACAACAAGTGCGTACGCGCCGTGATCGGCCATCACAATTTCCAGGCATCTCTTTGTCTCTCTGTTCTGGATCGGCCCATCCTGGGAATAACAATTACAACAATAAAAGCGCATTTCATTTTCTTCAAACAGACCAACCTCTTCGGTGTGGATTTAAGATTTTACAAACTTTGATATTTACCTGTTCAAAATCCCAAAGCATGTGGAATCTCTTCTGCTTGGCTATCTTGCAGTCGTAGAGTCCCGGGTGCACCCCCGTGCCCGGGTCCACCAGGCAGCGGTTGCTGTTGTACTTGTGCGATTTGATTCCACCGATGTACAGTTGTCCATCGGTGCGATAATAACAGTGCTGCATCAGAAGAACCGTGATTACCCGCAGACAGAAATAAAGATGCCAGCAGTGAATCTCTGCGCGTACCTGCGAGGAGTAGGAGTGGCACCCATATGTAATGGGGGTGTTCCCCGGCGTCGGGCCTTGGTCAACGCAGAGATCGGTCTTCAAACTGTTGATCAGCTGCCAACAGAAACCGATTTAAAAACGTCACATGAAACCTCAGAGGCTTCAGGCCTCAAACAGCCGTCTGATGTAGATTTCTAGCCCTTACTACTACTGAATAGTGCATCTCGTGGGGACTATTTTCAGCTGTCCACGAGCCATACACAGCAGGTACAGTATTGAACACGTACATTTATTTCTTAAAAAAGGTGCTATTGACATTTTCACCAGATGTTCATTAGCAACCCGAGTAATCCATGCATACAAACTCACCACTCCATAAGCTAGCAGGTCGTGCAGAGGGTCCAGCAGGGGGTAAACATTATCCAGATACCACTTAAAGGGCTTACAGTTCAGCCTCTCTCTCAGCGCTTTCCTCTCCGACACGTCCCCGATGTCGATCCCGTGCGCCTGAGCGGGAAACACAAGATTACACCATGAAGAAACGACAGAAAAACCGTTTGACAAAATGAGAGGAAACCGCAAAGAGTCACGTTCTCCAAAGCGTTCCTTATGAGACCCCATTCGTGTAATGGAGTCAGTCCCACTCACCTTTAAGGGAATGTTCCAAGCAATGTTGACGTTGTGTTTATAGTCATCCAGCCAAACCTCGGCCATCCTCAGTGCGTTGCGCTTCACCATGTCGCTCAGATCTCGGAGGTAAGGCTTCGAGGCCCGCTCAATGTGGGCAATTTTAGAGCAAGGTATGACCTCTATGCTTCCGCCACACAGCCACACCTGCCGCAAAGCAGAGGGTTTTCAGGACGTTTAACATGTATGCACGCGATTCAGTAAGTAAAATTACACTGCACGAGTGTAAAGCGATTTGAACCTATCGCAGCATACGGTCTACAAAAGAAAGGGTCCTGTACGAATCACCAACATCCGACGGATATAAAGTGTGTCTTTTTCTCCCGTTGCGGCATTCTCAGTCACCCTGTGAATCTCACCCGGATGCCGAGCTCCACGTTCTCGCCGCCGTAGATTTTCATTCCACCATCAAGGCTTCCGATCTCGCCAAAAAAACGCCGATCAGCTACAACAATCCCCATGATGGAGGGGCTTCTGAAGACAAGAATTTCACAAACATACTCGAGATGAAAATAGCAGCCGTACTTCAAAATACAGAAGCTGTGCACCAGTTTCACTTGCAAGATTTAATTTATTGAAGTCAGTGTCCAACAGATTCAAAGATTTAGGCCTATGCTTAAAAGTCTGTGATATGGTTTGTCACTGAGCATCTGCACATAGTTTATTTCTTACCCTGATCTTGAGTTAAAAAAGAAAGAAAGAAATAGTACAATAGTCTTTTTTAAATGTGTTTTCGGAGTAAACTTACTTCCCAGGGAGTGACTCGTCCTTGAGAGCGTACCACTCGGGTCTGAAGGACTCGTACATGCACCACATGGCCCAGTCAAAGGCATCCGCCGCAGGCATGTAGGGAACCAGCGTCAAGTCGTCGTAATTGACTTTGTCAAACACTGGGGTCACGATCACCGTGCGGTCCTCTTTGATCCGAGCCAGCAGCGGCTCTGCCCTGGACAAAAGGCGACGGAAGCTTAAACGCGGCGACACGCAACAAGATCACGGACCACTGAAACCAACCATTGCACGTGGACTTCGACGTGCGCGTCCAAGATGGCCACGACGTCCCCGGCGGCGGCCTTCCACCCCGACAGCCTGGCCCGGGTGAGGCCGAGCTGCTCAGGGTGCCGGACTTTCTTCACCAGGCCCGGGCGCTCCTCGTGGATGGAGTAAATGTATTCATCCAGTTTCTCCTTTAGATCCTCTGCAGAAAGCAAAGAGCCACCGAAGCTGTGGATTCACTCGATATGAACTCGTTGTATGAGAGACAACGCTGATACAATGTGGAGACTATATAAAAAGGTTTGGACACACTCCTGCTTAAGGTACGGTCACATTAGAGGTGCAGGTACAGGAATCCGTCGCTGCAGGCAGCTATAAAAAAAAACAAAAAACCCAGAGAGCAGATCGGTTGTGACGCAGCGGGGCGACGTACCATTACTGCTGTGGTCGTCCACCAGTATGATTTCCTTCAGCAGGCGGGCCGGCGTTTTGTCTATGACGCTGCGGACGGCCCTTTTGATGATAGAAAGGGCTTCATCCAGGTAAATTAGAATGACGCTGAGGGAAGGCAGATCTTCCGGGTACTTCTTCTCCGCACACCTGCGAGAGGGTAAAAAAGGGGCAGTTTTGGGGTTTGTAAGAAACATTTGGCTCTGAACCATTTTTTTTAATGCATTTTTAAAATGTAAAATCACTAGATGAAAAAGCTCATCTTAGAGCTTTGACTGAGCAGTGGTTTTATGGTTAATTAATGGTCAGCGGGCAGTTCACCTGGCCGGCCGGGTGTCGGGGATCTCTCTGTTGAGGGGCAGTCGGTCGCTGAGGAAGGCGTTGTAGCCGTAGCTCTGGAACAACGCCTCGGCCTCCTTCTGCTCCTCCTCGGACAGCCCGTCGCCCCACTTGCTGAACAGGTACGAGTTCGGGTACAGCTTCCTCACCACTTTCTTCCCCTTCTTCACTTCTGCGTTCTGCTGTTTCTCCAATTCCTTTTTTTCCATTTTATTCATCAGGACGACTGTTGGGAGAAAACGCACCATCGGAGTATTTGTTTAAGCCTTGTTTGCAAATTACTTTCAGATGGCCTTTAGATGGGCCCCTCCCTGAAACAAATATGTGAGCGTCTACCACTGACCAGTCAGTATTTGCACTGGTGTAGTTTGATGAGCACGGACTATTTACATATGTTCTTTCATGCTTTTTAATCTATTGCACAAACTGAGGCTGAAAATTGACAAAATCATTTATTTGGGAATTGCTAGAAAGTCGTTGTTTGAAAATGTGAGGCAACTTCTTTATAAATCAATTCACAGCAATCATGATGTTTTTTTAAGTGCTACGTCTTCTTTGAAAATCTGATTGAATCTGGAAACCTTTGGACTTTCAATCCAACCTTTATGTGTTGGAAGTACATTCTGGCACTCACGCAGCCGGTCGATGTGGTCTTCCATCTTGCCCATCCTCATGAGCATTCCCTTCTCCCGGATGGAGTCATTGCGGTTTGCCCTCTGGAGCCTCTCCGAATGCGTACGAACCTCCCGCTTAATGGAGCCGAGGTACAACAGACCGGCAGCCACCACGAAGGCGAGGAGTGACCCTTTAATCCAGCCAGATCGCATCCTGCTGCTTCTCTGCATGTCATGCGTTTGGTCTCCTCAAAAGGAAAAAAATAAAAGGAGCAGGAGAGTCGTTGCCTGCTTTTAATCTCAGGTGTCCTCTCTTTCTCTCCACCCTTTATGCACACACTCAAACTCCCATACAAATGAAGTCAAGCACATTGAACCACTGCAGCTGTGTTTACCGACATCCTGAAGTCCAGACCAGATCTGTCGGGTAGTTTTCCCATCCGGTTTTCACTCTGCTGCCTCTTCGTTGCATCACACCAGGTGCATATGATCAGCTGTTGACTTGGGAAGGGTAGAAAACCAGCAGCACTCTGCAGGAAACCGGAACAGGGATTCAGCTACAACATCAACCTTTTCCAATTTAACAGCAGATGATCAAGCTGAGAAAGTTTTTTTTAGGTCTGAGATATTGAGAACCGGATCTCTTTTGATTAAAAAGAGAAAAATCTGAGCTTAAGCTCAAATAAATTATACACTTAAGTGAGTATAAATATTTGCCACTAATATGTATTTATTTATAATAAGTAAGCAGTCAGTTTGATTCAATCATTTTTGCTGTTCTTTAAGCATACTAATTAACTACTAATACTGTGTGCACATGGGGGTTATTTAAAGGAGCAGCAGGTAAACAGAATGCCTGCATAGACAATCGTATCTCTTGTTTGTGTAAGAGCGCATGCTTTAATGCACTGTACTCTAGAGTACAGAAAGTCCCAGTGTAGCATTTGGATACGTCGTAAAAAGGTCATAAAAAGTACAGAATGTTTACTGTGGCAAATTCAATTAACGTATGAACACATTCAGCTCTCCTGAAATAAGACAGATGGTTGGTGTTCAACAGCTGGGAAACGGATTACCAAGAGCAGGAATTGAAGAAATCAACCCAATGAACAGCTTTAATGCTCTTTTTCAATTTCATTCTGTTACAAACAACACACTATAAGACAAATATTTTCGCTACATTGTGAAATAATGAAACTGATTAGACTTCCAAATCCTTTCTGTCCTGCTGCTCTTAAATAGAGGAAAGTCCAAAAAACGAGCACAGCAGCTCCTCTGACCACGTTTGTAAGCTTTTGGTTTGCTACGTACAAAATGAAAGTCAGTAATGAATTTGAAAAATGTAAGACAAACATTGTATTTTAATAAAGCATAGTTGCTACAGTCACAACTGCAATGATTGTAAATGGATGTAATACCTCAGCATACAGAATTAAACTTCATTTTATTTAATATATATGTACACAATATACAGCGTTTTGCACACAGTTGGAAAAAGAGGTTTTATTGCTAGTTTTGTAAACTCCAATTGGAATATCTACGCACACAATTACTGTACTTTTATTGAGTGACAATGACACATAAGCTGCATCACCTTTTCACAACGTACAGTGACTTAATGTGCCCGATGCTGAGAATCAGGAGAAAATACTAACATCCCTTTACTTACTTTATATGATTTGAATATTTACAAACTTTTTTTTTCTCCAAATATAAAAAGCTAAAAGTACAACACAAATTGACAGACGGATTGTGTGTGGGGGGGGGGGCATTGACAGACGGGTCAGTGACTGGAAACGCTGGGGTGAAGAGGTTTGACGCGAACCCGGCGGGACAGACCGAGGCGCAGACCCTGACCCGGAGACTTCGATGCTGGACTGGAGGAAGACGGACTCCGTCCGACTTGAGCTGAGGAGACGACAGAAAGAAACGTTCAGCGTTCAATTTACCGAAATATACCGTAAACATCTGCGACGGTTAATGTCGCTGCTGGTGTTCACCTGGTGGGTTCCACTTGGGTATCCTGCCGCCCCCCGCTGGGCTCAGAGATAACAGGGGGGGGGAAGCTGTGGACGATGAGGCGGGTTTTTTGGGAGCAAGTTTGGCCGATGGAGGACTTCTCACCGGTGTGGAAGCTGCTGTGAGACAAGCGACAAAAGGGCATTTAAATGCATTTATATTGTAACATCCATAAACATACTGATATATGCATCGTACACATATCAATAAAGACACACTTCAACGTGTCAGGAGGAGCCAGGGATTGACTCGCCAACCTTGTTCTGAGAGCACAACCTGCTCTACCAGCCTGCACAGCAAAGAATGAATCTTCTGTGATAAACCTCAAGAACCTACCAACTGCCTGGGTTTTAGACTTTGGGGTTTTTGAGGGTGGCTTTTCTTCTTTAAAGGCAGGAGGTGGTTTGGTCTTCTCGTTCTTGGTAACTTTCTCCTTTTTGGTTTTGCTGAATTTCTTCTCTGTGAATTCCTCATCCTCACTCTCATCCGGTTCATTGAAATCGTCGTCACTTTCCGAGTCTGGAAAGGTGTCATTGTTATTTTTATAGATGCCGAACACTGGTAACATTAAACAGAAACCAGATATTTAGGGAGGTGTAATAAAACAACAACCTGGTGTCAGTTTGGGCTCGTAGTCTTCATCATCGTCGTCGTCTGCAGGCTTTCTATTCTGCTCCTCAGGGGCTCTGGTGGCAGATTTTCTTTGTCTGGAATGGCAAGTTGACTCTTTTTCTGATGTGATCGTATCCAGGCCTAAAAGAAAAAAACAGGAGGATGCTCAAAACCAAATTGAAGGTACATAACAAATGGGCAATAATGCATGTTCAGTGAGAAATTATTAGGTCAATTTACCCCAAACTGTCAAATCCACACTGCAGTTGGACAGGTGAGCTGAAGTTGGATCCGTGTTTTCATCGACTGGAACTGGACTCTTGACATCTGAAGACATGTCGGATTGACTTAAGTTGACACCATTTTAAAAATAGAAAACAAATCTATGGTTTCTGAACTAAATCATACCTTTATGGGCTGATGGCTGGTCCTTTATTCCACCTCCATTATTTAGCAAGGATAGTGTAATGGCTGCCTCGAGATCTCTTTTGTGCACCTTCTCGTCTAATGGTTTTCTGTGAAGAACAAGTAAAAAACAACAACACACATTTCATTCCATGAATCAAATTCTTTGAAAATCAACCGATTAATTAACAGACTTATCCCAAAATATAAATACCATCATAGGAATGATGCATTAAACGCAAATAGGATTTTATAACTACGCACTAATATTAGTACTACAAGTACTACTGTCTATGTACTTGAGAAGCAAGCTGCGGCTTTATTCAAACAAAAAAAATAAAAAATCCTCAAATTACCCACTGCCTTGTTGAACATAAAATAATGTGCGTACTGTGTATTTTGTCCTTTATTGACGACTGTAGTTGAAATAATCCTGTGTTATAGCTGACTCACAACCAAACAACTCTGATGACCGTTTCTCTGTATTTTTACATGGTTCCTTCTGTTATATTATCTTCTCTGCTTATGCACCTGCTCTTCTGGCTCATCGCAGATTGTGAGTTGGACTCCTGATGGGATGACGTGCTTGATGATTTCTTGTGCTCCTGTTTCACGTCTTCCCTGGCCCGTTTGCTGGGCGGAGCCTTCACGAAGGCAAAATCCTCATCTGTCACAACATGAAGTGAGAAAACAGAGAGACGTTGGTGTGGGAAGAGGCTGAGCCTGTTTGTGTACGTCCGTGTACACCCTCCAGTCTAGGAAATCTTACGAATCCTGCAAATGAGCTTTAGCTACTGGTGCAAGCTTAAGAAGACTTGAACTTGTAATATCTAAATAAAAATGGCACAATAATTCAGCATAAGACTAAGAAATTAAGTATTTGTTGTTTGAGATGAAGACACTCAGAGATGTCGTTGCAGAAAAGAATCCTTGAGCAGTAAGAGTAGCATGAAAAACAATTGGAGTAATAGCATGTTGAAAAAATTGTCCTAGTACAGTATATTGAAAAAAGGCAATACAAATAATATCAAAAAAATATTAAAGCATGTGAAGAAATGGCATAAATATGTAATAATACTGCGTGTCATAGTACAGTCTGTCAAAAATAGAGTAAGCAATTATATACATACTGTTGGCTTAGTAACATTAATTGAGGTAATATCTGCTCACCATCGTCAAAGTCTTTTGCTTCAGAGTAATTCACAACCTTCGTCTTCCTGTGTGTCAACAATCAAACATGTGAACAAACAACAGAGTGTTAGACTGAAACCGACCAGATCAGGCACAAATAACACGAGTGGGGTTTTAAAAGTAGTTTACAAACCTCGGTGGTCGGTCCATTGCTTGTCCAATCAATAATGTCAACCTAGTTTAGCTGTAAATTGGCAATCGTTAAGACACTAAAACACACCAGCTAATGTTTGTTACCTGGAGAAGCTAACCTAGCTTTGATAGTTTTAAATGCTATCTGGCCTCCGATCATCCACCGAGTGAAATGTGTCAGACCCCAGTAACGCTAACCAGCATGTTTAACCGGCATCTATTAATTAATGTTAGTTCTGTTCTATTGTTTTTGTTACAGAAGTCATCTGGAGGGCTTCCTTTACGCGTTCAATTAGCGCGCCTGAACCAAACGGAAATCACCGGAAGTGACGTTTCACTGACGAACGTCACGTAAAAGCCGATATGCGTACAATGGGAGCAGATTCGTTTGATCCAAAATTATTCACAGAATTATCCACATAGACTGTCGTCTTTGTGGCTTTTCAAAAATAACTTAAAAACGATTACTGGTGGGCGAATGTCTAAACAAGCATAACCACATTTAAATAACGTAAAACTACTTGTTTTATATTTGTCTTTAGAAGATAATGTGCCGAATCCACTTCTGTTAAACACCATGACGTTATTTTTTAGCTGTGGGAATGGACTGAACCGAACCTTACGAACTGTGCTTATTCTGGTCAGTGTGCTGTGTTTTCAGACACTAGATACGTTTTTAAGGAAGTATAAATAGACGTAGGTATATTGGGTCTAAGTAGTTATTGTATGTTACTAATATCATAAATGTCGTTGTGTCTGTAAACAGTAAAAATAACACAGAAACAGTTAATGTTCTGATTAAAATGGGTGATATTGTACGATGACACTGAAAGAATGAGGACTTTTTGTGCACTGATAAATTAAACCAATTCAACAGTTTTATTGAAATACAATACAATGTGATATTATCTACTCCATACAGCTCTTTTTCTTAAGTTGTCACTTAATATACTTGTATTATTTCCCTGTGCATGCCCTTTCTAACATATTTTTTGTAATCTAAATAATATGCACATGTATCTAACTGAAATTGGTATCTAGTCCGGTAAATAAATGGTGAGCTTTATGTGTGCTGCCTGCCAGCTGGTGTCTCTGTGCTTCCTGTTATTCTGAGTAAATAGTTTTACCAGAAAAAAAGGAACATTTTTAAACATCTTATTCCAAAGGCAGTTGAAAGTACTTACTTACCAATCCCGCACCAACCCGCGGCACCAGGCTGCCAAACCAAAGTTTGCCCGACTGAACATGTAGGTGTGTGGGGGCGGTGACTGAATAAAACAAACATCCTTTACTTAAAAATATGTTTGGTGATTCAAAAAGGAAAGACGGAAATAATTCACATTAACTATTCCAACTACTGCGTGTTAATGATGTACTTGCGGATACTGTCTATCAACTGTATAAATATATTTAAAGACATATATTAGACATATTTCAGATTTTAAATAAACCTGAAACTCTGTTCTGATATTAATGTGACAATTATTTGTCTCCTCTGAACTCATCCGTTGGACTACATGTTACATTTTACCCATCATCTTATCGCCCACGGTTGAAATTGACCAAATTATGAAAATGTCTTTGACTTTGTGATGACATTTCTGCTCTTCCCTCTGCAGGCCACCACTGCGTTAATGAGGCCCATGAGTGAGTTCAGCATCCAGCAGATGGCAGCAGGAGGCTGACGCTTCGAGGTCTCACATCGCTGAGGTATTGATGATTGACACACGAAACGTGACGTGTCCACAGCCACCCGCTCGCCCACTCTCAGGGCGGAAGCGACCCCGGGCCCCCTCTGAAGTGCAGCATTTCAGTGCCCGTCTAAGAGAGCGGCAGCCGTCCCCGAGGGTTGTCATTTTCCACTTTGTGAGTGGGTGGCTGTCGGCCGCGGTTTGTCGCCCAGTGGACCTGGACCGAGACGCTCGTTGAAGGTCCCCGTGTCCGGGCCCAGACGAGGGAGGAAGACGTGCAGCCGTGGGGGCCAACGGGCCCTGTGGTCGCGCATTCCTGAACTCCTCCGGCACTGCCCACACACGCTTGACCAAAATATCTGATCCAGCCGTGCAAAGCGCTGCATGCGGCCACAACATCACGTCTCCATTCACGCATATAGATGTGCGTGATGTATTGTAAACACCTGAGAAATCATAAACTAAAACTACACACGGGTTGATAATCTCAGGTGTACATCCCTTTTTGACTTTGCACAAGGAATGATTTAGATTGCTTTGCATTGCTGGAGTTAATGCACCCTCCTGGTTTATGACTCTGCTAAAAGATAGGTACTGAAAATTGTTGTGAGTTAAAAATATTCAGGGATGTTAAATGTTTGAAATAAGGAAATTGTGTAGATTTAGTTCTCATGCATTTTTACTCAATGGTGCACTGATTATTTATTTTGGATACATATTTGGAACAGAAATTGTTGCAACATTCTCATTTAAATATTATGCATACTTTTACTGGGGAGCTTATTTAAGGTTTTTGCTAATTAAAAATACCAGACATCATATTGTGTGCAATAAAACACGCATCCTGTTTTCTGCCTGAGTGGATTTTCATATTTTGTAGTTTAATTAGCTGTATTGTGGGAAAAACAACGCATTGCCTGGGGTTTGAAAGGTGTGCTATAAACAAGGGTCATTATTATTATAATATTTGTGTTATAATGTATGGGACATGAGTAACACACAACTCCAACAACTCCACAACAATTCATGTTTGTACACACAAACTGTGTCATAGCTAGTCCTTCTACAACTGTTTGACTCACCACATATTAAATAGCATTACATTATCTGCACCTGTTGTGTTTCCAGATATTTAACAAACGCACAACTGTGATTTGTACCCGTGGCACCAGCGGGCCGTATTACCGGGCTATTTTGGAGTCGGACATGCAGCTGGATTTACCGGCCCGTTTGGTAGTCGTGAGGTCATCAGTGGTCTTAAGTTGAGCTTGTTAGTCGGAAGTGGTCAGGAGGCCGTTTTCCCCCCTCAACCACTGATGTGAATGCCATCATTATGTAGCGCACAGCATCTCTGAGTGGTACTTTGTGTGGGGCTCAGTTCAGCGCCGCGGTCCTTGTATGGCTGTTCCGCAGGTGGAGACTGCAGTGTTGTTATTTACAGTCCACGCGCGGCAAAGACCGAAAATAGAACGTTTCTTTCGGAGCGAGATGTTTTAGTTAAAGATGCAAAAGAATTGCCATGTTTTGCGTGGATGAAAAATGTTGCTTCCTCCATCCTTCTTCTCGCAAACTCGGTTATTATTGCTGAAGTATCTTTAGCTCTTCAGGGAGAGCAAATGCTCAGTCAATAAGGAAATCAACTTAGGTTTTGTTCCAGTTATTTACAAGCCTCAGACTAAATTTGACTCGATGGCTGAGTTTTCTCGGATATCCGGCGGGCGCTGCAGTGTCAGTGGGGTGTTGTTATTGCAAACCAGAAATGGCCCTGCAGCTGAAGCCTTCAGGCACGGACCCAGTGGCAACCACAGCACGGCCGCAGCAGCCACGGCGAACCAGAGTGGGCAGGCAGATCTGTCTATCAGTGGCTTCCGGAGTTTGTTTTTCAAGACCGTGTCTTCTCATGTGCATGCTTTCGCTTTTTTTTCGGGGCAGGGGGGGGGGGGGGGGGGGGGTACACACGAGTGGCCACAAAGCTAATTGCAAGGGAGATGGGAGACCGGCGAGAGGAGCAATCACAGAGAGATTTTCGTGCGGGCTTTTGATTGCACTAACGTGTGTTTATAGTAAACGCGGCAAAACCCACGATGACACAAAACAGGATTTAAGTTATGAATGCCTTTGGCTTTAAGCAGCTCTGCAGGTCCCACTCGTTGATCGTGCAAGAGCAGAGGTTTACATCATTTCTGTCTTGTGACCTCTGAAACTTGAGCGATCCACTTGTGATCGCCCATCACGGCTGGTTGTCCTTTGCTGCTGTGATGTTCCTGTCATGGAGGGTGAACATGGGGGAGAGAATGAATGACATGCGAGCATCCCGTCATCAAGATGGTTGGACCACAACACTGTGACAATATAACATTGTGTAATAATAATGAATGGTTTTCACTGGCTGATGGGATTAATGCTGCTATGATTAATGACATCCCATTGGAGCTTGGATTTGTCTCATATGAATGATTCTGAGTCTGCAGAGGTGAACTTTGTATGTATATCACAGGAAAAGACACATTGAGGCCCATGCACCATATGTGACAAGAGTTGGGGGCTGTTGTAGTTCCATTTAGCCGCTAATAGCATAGAGCACCCAACCCCCTGAAAAACATTCAGGGGCTGAGGTGCATTGTGCCAAGAAGAATGCATAGAATGAAAAAAACAATACATCTCTCTTGTCTGCAGCATCAAAATGTGTCTTTGGACGTCTTTGGCAAACTGCCCAAAAAACGCCATCATGTATAAGACATTCCTGCTTGTGATCGCTGACAAAATCAGGGCCCGAAAACCCGCAATCCGTCTTATCATTATATGTGTCGACAAGACGGCGAAGGGATCTAAACAGCATCAAAGGGCTGGACTCGACTCAGCCCTGCCGGTTTTACACTGTGACACTATTTGAAATAGCATCTATAACGCAGAACCGAATCCGGCGCCCTGGGACAACCTTTGAACGGGGAGATCACTGGCAAAAGGACTCAAGCACATGAGACCTCGGCGACTTAATGTCTCGTCATGCCCGGGATGCTCTGCGCTCATTGGCTGCATCGTTTGTTGATGGATCAGCTGGATCAGATTCTCTGTGGTGCATTTCGCACAAAGTAGTCTGACACAGTTTTCTTTGCTATCTTTAGCTGACCGTCCACAGCACATGATGCATCAGTTGGAGCTGATGTGACTTTGTGAACACATGTAACTCCCATTGCACAGATCCGCACTTCTCAGAAGTTGTCTTCAAAGTAAAGGAACATGGATCCCGGTCAAAGCGCATGCCAGTGCTGCAATGCAGTGAGTGATCATCAGTCAGAAGGGCAATGGATGTCCTACCATGTGTTTGACACCAGAGGGCGACGTGAGAGTGATGGGTTCAGGTGCAGCGGGAGCGTTGGTGTCCAACTTGAAATTTTCATTTTGGTTATTCTGACCATTCATATTTTTCCAAGTTAAAACATGTTGCACAACCCTCCTCCAACACACTGTGCTTTATCAAAGAAACGGTCTCTTGCTATCATTGTATGGTGCCTAATGCGGTGTTCTTATATAGAGTCCACCAATCACTCAATGGTCTTTTTTACAAATCAACATTGCCATTAAATCAATCAATTTACAAATGAACTAAAATGTAAAACATACAATAGCAGACAACCTTTTCCTTTTTTCCATTCCATTCAAAATAAATGTGTAATGTGTTATTATTCCTGTTATAGTAACATTTAATTGGTAGTAATGCAATTGCTTAATATTTTCGGGTCCTTGTTACTTAAGTTTACCAGCACCCTGAAGCAGCCTAATGGAATTCAGCCTTTATTACTTTTATGATTTACACCTGTTCAGGTCAAAATGTCTGATGTAAAAATGGCTTGTACCTGCTGAACTTTTGAGCACGGCCTACTTGCCTTTTGACCCACTAATAGAGTTATTACCCCCCCTGCTTGGCCCCAAGGGACCTGACTCTGTGAGCGTTGCAGAAATGGTGATAATGTATGAAGATGTTGGACTGCTGGTACTCAGACATGTCCCCTGGTCGCCTGGACATTTATTACCTGCATTTTGTTGAGTAAATCATTAATGTGTTAAATGCATTATTAATAGTCTTTTCTTCTGGGAAAACCACAACTTGTCACAGATTCCTCCGGATCATTCTTGAACACGACTGCATGTTAGCTGCTCTCCAGGACAGGCAGAACCTTTGATCGACTGCTAGTGGGTTTAGATTTTCCTCCAGCAGGGGCCGTGACAAAAATAAACGGTCTGATCTTTGTCGCGCTGGCCGGCCGACAGCAGCTCGGTCGGCGGTGACTCACTCTCTCAGCAGCGTGATCATTCCTGAACGCTCTCCAAACCCACACGCCAAATTGCCTCGGTCCTCCACTTCATTGCCGGCCGCTCGTCATTGTGTAGCGAGGTGGTCGCATCCTCAGGGGAGGGGCTGGGGGGGGGTTTACCGGCGGCACCCTTCTCATCCCGTAGGGGTGAGAACGTGCAAAGCGGTGGGCAAATGTGCCGAGGGAATTCCTCGCATTCTCCTGCTCGGTCCTGGTGGCCTGGCTCGGTGTTGGGTTCCTGGGAGAGAGGGGAGAGGAGCCGGGGGGGGGGGTTGGGGAGGTGGGTTAGGGTGCCGACTCAGCAGTTGACACCTCCTCTGATCTCTATCTCCTCCAGCGGCCATAAACCAAACGGTCCAGCATGGCCGCCACGTAAACAGAGCTCGTGGCCTCGACTCTGCCTGGAAGGAGAAGTTGGTTATGAAGAAGGTGTGAAAACTGGCTCCATTGCTTTCAGGATGAATCTGCTCGTGAACCTGGGAGCCTAATACTCCACTTTTTGCTTTACATGCAAACAGAAATGTGTTTGATGTAATGGGTCGACCCAGTCTCACAGCAAAACGTGTAATAGCTGCGTTGTGGATCAACGTTGTGTTGTCACGCTTGACAACACAACGTTTTAGTTGCAACGAGGTCACGTGACTATCAACTTCCCCTCAGCTAAAAACAGAAAATGGTGGACTGTCGGTCTATTATCTGTGTAAAACACAATATTTTAAGAAAGCATCAGCATTTCATATGCATTTCGATGGCATTTCTAGCGATAAGTGTGCGTTATATTTTCATAATCTTCTATCAGAGAATGTAGAAGACCTTCCGTTTATTAGTTTCTAGTGACATAGTTGCAAGGCGATGTAAATGAATGTATTGTCGTAGTATTGTCACGATTTTGGGAATAAAGCGTGAGAATCTCAACGTAGCTGTTACACGTTTTGCAGTGAGACTGGGTTGAATGGGCTCATTGGCGGGTGGTATTATGGCAGTGATGGTCTTCATGGACCCTGAATCGACGGAGCTTGAATCTGCTTTGCACAACTGTACTCCGGACAGTTTTTTAGTACTGCGGGGTTCCGTGGATTGAATCCCCTGCTGAGCTCGCACACGTCAGGGGCGACACAGCTGAGGCTCACAAAACCGTTAGACCACATGGTGCCAAAGAGACGTTTTCACGTCTTTCAGCTCCCTCGGGACGCGATGTGATTACTGAGCTTAAACGCAGATCGATGGCCACGAAGACTCCATATCGCTTTCACTCTGTTAGCATATATACGGTATATCCCGACGTCATGAACGTAGAAAGTGCAGAGTCATTGCTACAGGGATTTGTAACCTGCGTAGAAGTCACCCCTGCTTCTTTTCCCCTTAGTCACTCCACGCCCGATTTAGCAGCAGGCCCATCACTCTCTACACGAAGCCGTACCCTTGAAAAGATATTTTTACTGGGAACTTCTGACAGGCTGCTCCTCGTCTCCGCTGTGCGGCACAAAGCTCGACACAATAACAACGAAAGAAGCCGAACAGATCTCCTGATATGTTTCGGCCTCTGCGTGCGTGGAGGCACGGCAGTCAGTGTCAGGCTCCCGGTGGATTTGGCGCTTCTCCGCTGTGTGTCGCGACTTCACAAAGGAAAAAGAGCGGTGCGGTGTTTTTGGGGCTGATGAATTATTCATCAGCTTGTTCAGCAAAAAAAAAATCTGAGCCCCTTTCAGGGTTGGTATACCGTTACTATTTTACAAGACACGGCTCCATAGGATCCAGTGAATGTTTGGGATCGATTCCGACCCCCCTGCGAGCAGCTCGATTATGTAAAGTCCCGTCCCGTTAGTGAATAATGTTTAAAGCTTCTGCTGTCATCTTTAAGTGAAGGCCTGTGCAGCCGTGCGTCTTCTTTACATTGATGCACGTTAGGACTGAGTATTATTGCCCGTCTATGCCCCCCTATGTCATTCCAGGGAAATCCCCCCCCCCCTCCATCTCTGGGTCTCCCCAGCTGTTGTTTCAATCTCTTCTTTTAAACTGCACGTTAATAAAACGGTAATCTGAAGAGCTTTGCATCTTCCTGTATCCAGTTACTTACAAATTGCTATTATGCACATACGCTGTTTGTGTGGCCATTCCCTCTGGTCCATATGTGTGTGTGTGTGTGTGTGTGTGTGTGTGCACTAACTAGATCATATACTTGCACACAAAGACAGCTGACCTGACCATAGTTAACTGCAGACCCTTTTGCTTGAAGCTGTAGTTCCTGGTCTTTGGCTCTAATATATTCAGACAAAGGATGTTCTAAAGGCAAAATCAATTTGCTGAGTAATGTGGGCAAGTTTCCATCGAGCTCCCTCTGGTTTCCCCGCTGTGACTCAGATGTTGGGTTTGCTCGACGCTCACTCGCTCAGGTCCCGTTAGCTGAAACCGTTATTTGACTAATCGATCAACGGAAAAAGAAATAAATCTGCAGCTATTTGTATTGTCGGCTTGAGGCGAAACTTGTCGACCAACTTGTAGGCGAACTGAAGATGTGGGGTTTTTAGTGAAGTGAGCATTTAGCAGGCTACTAGAGGGTAAAGAAGACACTGTTGCATCCTGGGAAATGTCGGACCCTTAACTCTACTGCTTAAATTTGACATGTCTTTGTTTTAGTAGATCGCTTTTGGAGCTCCACTAGTTTATGGAAGTATGTAATGTAAGACAAATAATCAATCGTTTGCAAATGAATCACCAATGAAAATAGCAGATAGCAGCGGTTCACTCATCACATTGCATCCATATTCATTCACGTTTACTGTTTATGGATGAGTGCATTTTGCTTCAGGTTTTATAAAGGAAAAAGCCGCCTCGGCCAGAATAACTGTATTAGCTGAATTAATCAGCGCCGTCTCATTAACTCTCCATTGATCGAAGTTACACTCTGTCAATAACGCAGTACTTTTGTCTATTCAGGTTGCCTTGGGTTGCATGGTCATGTGCTTACACAGCAAATCATTAATTTGCTGGTCCGGTCCATCCGCTCCAGTGGGACCAAGAAGTCCTGTCAGGCTCTTTAACTTCACATGTAGATTCCTCATAGATGAACTACTTCTACACGCAGTAATGTTGACGATGCAAAACCAACCTGTGGCTCACAATGTGTGACTGTCAACATGTACATGTGTGCACACATTCATGTCAGCATTTTGCCACAAACATATATCTCCACTTTGGAGGATAAATGAGTGTTTTGTTGGTTTTTCCATTATCGGTTGCTGTTTATTAGCAGCAAGGTCTCTCTTGTTGCTAAGGTGGTTCTTTAGGCACCTTGGCAGCCCGAGAGCGCCTCGGGGCCCCGGGGGCCTGGTGCTCTGTGACGCGTAGGGAATTCCCCCGAGCATTCGTCTCCTATAGCAGCACCCCGCAGGACGGCATGCAAGCGGGAATGTGAAGCCGGGCAAACCAAGTGCACCCAGCTTAGACTTATTTAGATCTTTCCACATTTTAGATTGACAAGAAAAGGTCTTCTGTGATCTGGGGATTTGTGTCTTCTTTGATCGACTGCCGGTCCCTGACGTGAGCAACTCAAAAGCAACGGCATGCGTTTTATTTACGCATTTATTATTCCATTGGTGGCGGCATGTTACTTAACTCGCAATAATAACATACTCGCAATCTGACCAGGCAAAATATCTGGTTGTGTAAACTTCCCGATCAAACAGCCATGGAACTGTCTGACGAGATTGACATTTGCTCTCATGTGACTCTCTGTAACTGTTTTTACACCTTCCTTCTAAATAAGGCAGCGGGCTGCCAGGACATATGACCAGCGTCCCAATTTGGGCTCCGGACACAGTATCCATCCTTCCATCCCATGATTGCTCAACGCCAATGAAAGTCAGACACACAGACACACACTCCCTCTCTTCAGCCATAATTAGCCGCAGGAGCACAGAGTAGGTTAAATTACCTTCACAATAAAAGCACGTATATGTTATTGACCATTAATTCCTTCGAGGTGAGATGTGGCGCTAATCAACAGACTGATCTCTCCTGCGTATGCATTTTGTCATGTGACAATATCTTCATCGACCATCTTGAATACAATCTTCCTGGGTGCACGCGAGGGTGCAACTATTGCAATGTGTTTCATTTGCAGTTTGTAAGAATGATCGATTAATTGTCTATAAAGAGGCAAACAAGTAAACAAATGGTCTCCCAAAAGTCGACGCATGGATCCATTGGAGTCTGGGTTTTATTCTGAAAACGAACCACAGGAAACGGAAAAGGTTTGTCTAACGCTGGTGTGAAGGCGCAGCACCCCCCCAGCACCCCCTCATCATCCCTGTCAGAAGTGCTGCTCCTGCTGGGGTCCTGTAACTCTGTCCTGCTCCTCCTCCTCCTCCTCCTCCTCCTCCCATCTCTTACGTTTGATGGGGGGGTGCAGCGATGATGTCACAGTGATGTCATTGTGGGATGTGTGATTCGCTGGCTAGGTGAGCTGGTCTTGCGGTGAGTGGTGTCCCCTCCACGACCAGCGCGTTGCCTGTCCAGAGGCGCGGAGCGGCGAAACATGATCATCGCCAACGGCACCAATTCAAGCTCCGACGCGCTCCGTCCCTCTCCTGCTGCTCAGATCTCGGGCTATGGGGCCCTGATCTGCCTCGATCCCCAAACAAGCCTTTACCACCACCATGCCAAAGGACAAAACGCAAGAAGAGTTGCATTGATAGGGCAGGTAACTTTGACTACGTGCCCCAAGGGTAAAGTGGATGGCCATTGCGCAAAGGTGCCTCTACAGCATGTCCAGCGGGGCCAGGACGCACTGGACGCTACCAGCAGTTCTTGTACTGTGGACTTCTCTCTGGGGGATCGTTTCATCTTATCCGATTCCGAGCAGGACTAACGCGACTCTACTGGAAAGGAAGTGGGAGACACTCTTCTCCCGCTCCTATCTGGGCATAGCGGGGGGGAAGTCGGAGCTCAACTGGGAGAGCGACTACTTGCAGGGCATCAAAAGAGTGCGGCGACTGTACTGCAACGTGGGCATTGGGTTTCACCTGCAGGTGCTCCCGGACGGCAGGATAAGCGGTGCACACAATGAGAACCAATACAGTGAGTTGCATCCGGAGGAGGCACTGGACCCCGAAAATAGAGTGCGCGTGACCCTCTGCGCAAAAAGAAAGAAGTTAAACAGGGTCACTTGTGCGGATTGCATGATATTTAATAAGAGCCGCCGGCATGTTTAAAAGTTCCCCAAAGCAAAAAAAAAAAAAAAACAGCGTGCCGAGCCCTACATCCGCGCGGTGCCAAATACCCCCCCAAACACGACATGAATGCTCGGGTCCGGTTTAGACGCCAACTTATTTTTACCCCGCGTCCCCTTTCTGCAGCAGGACACGCACACAGCACAACACGCAGCGCGCCGCGCGCACTCTTCATAATGTTTGTTTTTAACTGCAAGCGGGTGTCGCGCTGCGGGGGGGCTCCGTGAGCGGAGAGAGCATCACCCAGTCGCAATGCACCTGCGAGGATCCACCCATCGCTGCTGCTGCTGCTGCTGCATAGGCCAGTTTACTCCAGTTCACCTTGCTTCTCTTCTCCCCCCACCCCCCCATTCCCCCCCACAACGCCATGTTTCCTCCAGGTCTCATAGAGATCTCCACCGTGGACCGAGGAGTGATCAGCATGTTCGGGGTGAGGAGTGAGCTGTTTGTCGCAATGAACAGCAGGGGAAGGTTATACGGAACGGTACGTCTGTGCGCAACTCTCTCTCTCTCCGCACGCACGCACGCACACACACACACACACACACACACACACACACACACACACACACACACACACACACACACACACACAGTGTAAGATGAGTTCACGTAGCTGCTGCATCCGTGGGTTTATGGGCACTGTTGTGTTATTAATATGCTCTGATGATTGGGGAGGGGGGGGGGGGGGGGGGGTTTCTGCGTCGGAATCTGTCGGTGGGGGGAGAGGAACGCAGATCTTTTATTTAATAATACTACAGTGTGAAAATATTGTGTTACAAGTAAAGGTCCTGCATTCCGGTTTGTTTTAGTAAAAGTGCGAATGTGTCAGCAGCAAAAATGTCCAAAAGTACAGTTGGGTTTGTGTAAGTATTTATTTATTGATTATTTTTTAAATGGTTCAAATGTGAAACGGTAAGATGAATGTAAAAGAGAGGCATTCAACATATTTGCCTCAAGCAGAGTAAACAGTCAAAGGTTTGGACGCACTTTCTCAATGAATTGAATGTGTGTCCAAACTTTTTACTGGATAACTTCTGAGTACCACACCATGAAGTGAAAGTACCACAATATAAAAGTAATTACAGGTACAGGCCCAACACTCCAGTCCAACAAATTGGGATTTCGATATTTAAAGTAGAGCAGGGCAGTGAACCATGTCAGGGATTAATTGATATCATTGGAAAATGTATTCAAAAATAATGAATGTTCACATATTTTTGTAGTTTGTTTTTGAACGTCTTATTTTATGATCTAATACTTTTAAGTAAAATACCAGATAAATGTAATACAGAAAAGGCTACATATTCTCCTTGTAGTGGAGTATTGTTCTGAAGTACTTTATGGAGTACCTGGAATCTGTCCATATATATTATTTGGACTAAACACCCCCAGGTTCCAGCAAATAACAAATTTAACCTTTCAGTCAACGTTCATTTGACGAAAGTCAAACAAAATCCACAAACCATGAAAGAAATCATCAGCAGGACAAATATTTAAGTATTGATGATGTGAAATTGTCTAACGTCAAACCTTAGTAAACGTATTCAGTCAAACCATTAGGCAAATACTTTACGTGGTATTTAATGTACCTCTGCTGTGGATTTATAATGTGTTTATTCATCTTTTATTAAGGAAGAACATCATGTTGCTCTTTCAGCGGTACGACAAATAAATAATGATATTCTTAACTTAATGTTCTGGTCACCAAGCCTCAATACATTTTTGCCTTTGAGGATTGATACCAAAATCTGAGTCTGATTTACATATTTTGGAAAGTTTCAGGCTTTTTATTTTGGTCGTCCAACTGCGTTCAAGCTGTTATGTTTGCTCGTTTTCAATCAATATTTTATTAAAAACATGCAGCTGATGCGCTAGTATGTGTGAGCGTGTCCCAACTCCGTTTAGCATTTAGCTGCATTGGTCCTTTGAATTCAAATTGTTGATATTTTATTGAGATATGAGGCTCGGGGGTCTTCTTCTCCTCCTCCGGGTTCCTTTGGCGAAATTACCTCCAAACTAAAGCTCGCGTTAGAAACCCGCACACACGCCGCGATGCTCGTCCGTCCTCGCGTGTACATTCAACTTTGGCCTGTTTTTTTTCCAGAGAGCCTTCGTGGACGAGTGCAAGTTCAAGGAGACGTTGCTGCCCAACAACTACAACGCCTACGAGTCTTTTGTTTACAAGGGCTTCTACGTCGCCCTCAGCAAGCATGGCCGCGCCAAGAGGGGCGACCGGGCCACCACCGCCATGACCGCCACGCACTTCCTCCCGCGACTATGAGAGACGCTGGCAATGACCCCCCCCCCGAAATTTGCACATGTGGATGTTCTTCCAGGTAATATAGAAACCGATGGACTGCGAAGGAAAACACATATTTATTCTATTTATATATGTATATATATACATATACATGTATATTTGAAAAGCTATCTTTGTATATGTACCGTGCTGCTTGTTGTTTTTACGGACGGGGAGAGTTGAAGCCTTCGCCTGTCTCACGTTACCTGGGTGCTTGCTGTAACTGAACTACGTGTCACTTCCTTTTTGGAGACGGAGGACGAGCTGCATCCTGTGCTTTTAAAGAGTGAAACGAATACTTTTTATTACCTCAAAGAACACTGAGTCAAGGGATGCATGGACTTCTGCTGAAAATGTCTGCTAGGTTTATGATTTTTTTTTTTTTTCCCAAACCTTTTCGAGTGCTCGATGGCTCCCTGCTCGATCGTCCATGTCCTGCAGTGGGGGAAACTTAAATGCACTACCTTTGCTGCACGAAATGAAAGGTGCCTTGGTGTTCCCACTTGTGGCCCCCTTAAACTTGCATGTAAGAGACACCTGCTGGAGTCAGAAATAGGGCTGACGCTCCGCAGAGGGCCTCAGAGGGGCCGGCGGGGGGAAGAGGGGGGGGGGGGTGGACTATCTCTGGTTTATTTTCTTTTCCGTAACTAGATCGATTAAGTAATATACAATCTGCGGTTGAGACCAGAGAGCGGTTAGCCATTGGAGGTGAAACGAGGCCGTGCGTTTGAATGTGTGCCGTCGCCAGCTGACAAACAGGGTGGAGCGCTGACCCGTCTCAGCGTGGAGGACATTTTCGTTTGGACAAAACGGGTCCACCGAGCGCCCGGTAGAACTACACCTCCACGTTGTCTCGGGCAGAGCTCCTGCTGCGAAGCGGTTCGCTGCAAGTTTTACCTGCCGCTGAAAAACGATGTCCAGTGTCCTTGAAAGCAACGAAAAATGTAAATGTAAATAGTTGCAAATGTAAAAGAAGAAATCAGGAGCTTTCTGCGCCGCTTTTGTCGCAGCTGCCTGAACGAGGCGAAAAGAGTTCAGGTTGCACATTTAGCCATCGACGATGGTGCCTGAATGTCCCGGTGAGACATTTGTCTCATTTTAATTAATCTCTGTTTGGTGGAGTCGGTGCGTGCCCTGGGATGTCTCCAAAATCTCACCACACCTCTTGCTCGTCAGCGTGCTCTGCAGCAGCACTTGCAGTGGCAGCAAGGTGTCCAGAGACTGGAGGCAGAGACTTTTGAATCCAATTACGGGTGAGCCAATGGCGTTCCACCTCGAGGGGCCGGAGACGGCGCAGTCGGCGGATTGGCTGCATCGCAGCAATGACATCTTGTTCCACATTCAAAGTATCCTCACTCAGTTTGAGGATCCGCCCGCGCCGCTTCTGCAGCTGTTGACTGGAAAAACCGTAATCTCGCCGCATGCGTCCGTTCTGGTGGGGTTTTTTTTGGGGGGGGGGGGGGGGCAGCAGGAATATTTAAGTCCAGGGAAGACGTATGCGAGGAAGCCGCCCTGCTGCCTTTGTTGTTCGTCACACTGCAGGAATGTGGATCTGCCAGGATGACAGGCAGCCCCCTCGACCGCCCTCGCCCATTGAGCTCTGACACCCCCCCCATCGTCACCCGCCCCTGCTTGTCCCCCTTACCGTCCCCCCCTCTCGCCCGCTGCAGGCAGGCAGGGACCTTGGGATTCCAGCTGTAACCCAGGAGCTTCCTCCTCTCCTTTCAGCCTTTTTTAGTTCAAGGTCAGAGTCGCGGACCGGCCTTGGTCCCAACCCTATTGCCCGGGGGCGGAGGCGGGGGGGGGGGGGGTCGGCTGTGTGGTGAGGAATTTCAAATAGCTCTTTTTCCCCACAGGGAAACACCGTGTTTCATCCTCAAGCAGATTATGGTTTGGATGGCCTGACCTGCAGAGTTAATAATGCAGTGTGTGAGGAACAGGCAGAGGGCAGAGTCACGCAGGTCCTCACCTCTCCTGCTGCAGGACCTGCCCCCCCCCGTCCCCTGGCCCCCGTCCCCAAACGCCTCTCGGCGGCGGCCTCACTGCACTCATAACAGTGTTTTTCTAGCAGACAAACCTCCGATCCGTGATCCGTGATCCGTATCAGGCGCTTGGAACGGGACTTGTTGCTGCTGCAGAGGAGGCTGCACGGAACACACTGACGTACACGTTGGGAGTGAATAGTCAGCGTATCTTTTTGGGGGGGGCTTAAGTAGTCGTTACATGCTTTGTCATTCTCGACTGAGGGAGCTGTGGAAGGAAGTGAACTTTGCGCATGCACAGCAACGAGTACTTCTCTCGCCAACCTCACAATCAAAGATGTCCGACATCTGTAGCAGGCAGCACCTTACTTGATTATAAACTAGCGTTAAGAGTTGTCTCGCATTTTTCTGTCAAGAAATAGAGCTGGATCCCTAAAAAAAAAAGAGTGAAGGTCTGTGTCTGAAACGAAAAGCTCACCCTTCAGCTTTGACCAAAAAATGTTATCCAGAGTTCTCGTCGTCTGTTTTTTTTTTTTTTTCTTTCTTGTCAGAGATCAAATTTCAATTAATTCAAGGGGAGGAATATCTTTTTTTTAATTTTTTAAATCATGTTTAATGTACAAACATGCCTGAGCCCCAAAGCTTAATTAGGTGTGTGTGCTCCATGTGTTTGTTTTTTTAAAGTCTTGCTTGGAAAGGGAGTGAGCCTCCCGTCTCCGCTCTCATATACCTCACCCTCTGCCTTAGTTTTGGTTTGCTGATGACTGTGAATTAAGACAAAATAAACATCAGTCCTTTTCTTTCTGAAGGCAGACAATGCTAAGTGAGGATATTAAAGTTTTTCCTTTTATTTTTGTACGTATGTGCTGTGCACAGCAGTCGACTGTATTCCTGAGATGACAATAAACGTTTTTTTTTTAACTGGTTGCTGGTAAAGTGTTGTTGTTCTCTCTGTTGGATCAGCTGATCGGTGAAAGTTGTAGAAGAAGTTGCATATTTTTAATAAATACGCAAGTATCATGTGAATTTCCCCCTAGAGATCAAAGTCTTATTTGTATCTATAATAGCACTAATTATTATTAATAATCAGAATTCATTAGTCAATTATTATTTTGTGTTGTTAATCTGAAGTAACCGGACAAGTAAAAACATGGAAGATTTGTCTCTGAATTGTAGCAGACCTACGTACTTGAAATGATGTCAAACAACTTTGCTTTATGTGTGTGTGCAAATTAAACTTGAATATGATCATAATTGACTACATTTTGAAGTGGGTCTAATTTCCTGAATACAACCTCGTTTAATTATTAAGAAAAGCTGTTTACAGGTTTATAAGTACAAGAAGAAGGATAATTGCTTACTGAAATATAGCTTCAAGTGTTTCAAGCTGAAACTCCAGCATCCCAAATAAGTTCAGCCAGTGAGACAGAAGGTCCCAGCAGAAGATCCCCGGGTGATGCAGCGGCTCCCTCTGCTGGTGAGAAGGTCAACGTGTCAAATTGGGCAGGTGCGTGAAAGCAGCAAAGCCAAAGCAACTCTGACTGAACGTCCAGTCCACGTGTGAGATGAAGCTGAATGAACCACGAAATCATTCCTCCATCCACAATTCTGCAGTTTTCACCGCATTTTATTGCCTTCCTAATATGAATCCCATTATTGAAGCGCCTTATTTTAGTTGTCTTTAGTTTGTGGTCCGAACCAAAACTTTGTTCAATTAGGAAACGGCCTCAGAATAATGTTCAAAGCGGATGAGTCACGACGCGTCACCAAAAATAAGCGTCCAGTCTGACCGAGAGCATCGGGATAAACAGACAGAGGTGGAAGTGGCCCTTCCGCTGCAGCAAACCCGCACATCTGCTTTGGGGGCGAGTTTCTATTTTTTTTTCACGCAAAGGATGTGAGCAGGAGTGGCATTCAGGGGCCTTTAAATAGGGACCGTCTCCAAACTTTGGGTCAACAGAGCATCTGAAAACTCCAAGCAGCTGCAGAAAGCACCGGTTTGTTTCTAGGGATGGACGTCAACGGGAGACCGAGGATGAGGAGAACGGTGCTGGCGCTCTTCCTCGCAGTACTCCAGGGGTTTCCTCCCGGGGAAACGGCCCCGAACCCGTCGCCGCTGGTCGGATCCAACTGGGGGAACCCGAGGAGATACATCCACCTGCAGACGTCCACGGACCTGAATAACTTCTACTTGGAGATCCGACTAGATGGGACTGTGCGCAGAACTACGCACAGGAGTTCATATAGTGAGTTTTCCTCGTTAGGTTTATTTTTGGTTTTAAATGTGGAAATACGAAGTTGATCTTTTACTCTCTAATGCTCGTTGGCTTTTCTTCCTGACAGGTGTGATTTTACTGAAAGCTGAAACGAGGGAGCGCGTTGCCATCCTCGGGGTCAAAAGTAGCCGCTACTTGTGTATGGATGTGGAGGGAAAACCTTTCAGCTCGGTAAGCCGGTACTGCGAAATAAATAGATACAACTTCCACAAGTAATTCATGCAAATTCCTTATACTAACGTTTTGCTTACGAGTTGATGTATCTTGAAGCCAATGTGTGTTTTACGCACCGTTTTTAAACTTTTTACGCTCTTAAATATGTAATATTTAAACATTGCTTTATTTTATTATTTTTAAACAGTTTGATTCGGTGATTTCTGTTTGTACTAAATCGATCCAATAACGTTCTATATTTGCCAGAACTGCGGAGTGCTGCTCATAGTGTTTATCACCACTTGCTCTCCTTTTACGCACGTTGACTGACGGATTATTCATGGCGTGCGTTGCATCGCCGTTAAGGGAACAAACTGCTATATAACACTGTTATTGAAAATGATTGCATTGGATTAGATGGTCAGAATATTTGGAGATCATCAACGGCATCGTAGGACAAAGGAAATCGGATATTCCCTCACTGTCTCCTTGCCTCCTTCTGCCTTCCAGCCCACCTGCCTCAGGGACGACTGTCTGTTCAACCACAGGCTTCTGGAGAACCACCGGGACGTGTACTTCTCCAGCCGGACGGGCATCCTGTTCAACCTGGAGGGGTCCCGGCAGGTGTACTCACCGGACCAGAACCTCCCGCAGACCTCCCTCTTCCTACCCAAGAGGAACACGGTGCCGCTGGCGCGCCTCCTGCTGCATCGGGAGAAGAGGAACCAGGTGGTGGATCCCTCTGACCCGCACAACGTCTACCTGGGTCAGACCGAAGACGGCTCGGACTCACGGGCCGCTCCGGAGGACGACGCAGAGCTGGAGGTGGAGGCGGAGACGGAGGTGGAGGCGGAGATCGGGGACGACGTGCGCAACGTGTCCCGGGAAACGCCGGTGGCCCCGTCCACCCACGACCCGTGGAACGTGCACTCGTCCAACCCGGCCAGCCCCCAGAGCGCCGGGACCATGGGCTGATGTCGGGGGGGGTCACAGGGTGGGGTTTAATTCAGTTGAACCTCGTGGTCATAAAGGATGTCCGTTCAGTCATCACTCATTTACCAAATGAGGAGACTTATTCCAGTTAGTTTCTTCTCACTGAGCTCCATATTGCTTGGATGAGAAATGGCAGTAAACAAATATTGAAACACTGTTAGATTATGTAATTGCTTAGCTTGCAAACAACGCTTTAGGAACTAACAAACAGTAGGAAGAAATCAGCTGGTTTCCCCTTTTTATTTTCCTTCTGCTGAGGTTTTAACAGCTGGTCTGAGAAAGCCATGTTATCTGAAGACAGACGCCTTCCTCTGGAGGGCTGGAGGCCTCGTCTACTGATGTGAAACCTTTACACAATAATATATATACATGAATATACCTAAGATGTGCATTTAATGTTAGGTTAGGTTTGATCTATATTTATATTTTTATCTGAATTAAGTATAAGATGATTTTTTTTTACCTTTTCAAAACTACAGATCACTAAAACACCGCACTGTGTGTGTGTTAGTGCTTCTGTATTTGTACCATCCAGCTTACTTCATGACCTTTTACAGCCAATCCGAACATTTGCTATGTGACTTTTACAGGTGCCGGGCACCACCAGCAAACAGTAAAACCAGCCCCAAAGCATATTTATTTATTTAATTCCATTCCTTCGTTGTTATTTATGGTATTTATAAGAACGCTTTACAGTCAAAATGTATATTTTACAAAACACGGTTTGTCTTTGAATGTATGAGTTGGATTTGTTGACTGCTTGGGACCAAATAAACTATACAGGAAAGACGTGTGATGTTATTCATGCAGATGTGTACTTTTCTCTATTAAGCTTTGGTGTTCTAATTTGGTACAAACGCGCGCCGTCAGAACGGAAGTCACGGATGAGTCAGCAGGTTTAACGTCGACCCCGTTTCCCAGCGGTTCCCCTCGTTAGCTGAATATCCTGCGCTTTCACACCTCCAACCGGTTCACGAATCACTTCACTCTAAAAATACACCCGGGGCCATTTTTATCCAAACCAACTCTATTTGGGTCAACGATTGACCTTTGGCCCGTTTAACGTAGGTAACGTAAGGACATTCTAGGATGTGTCTACTACCAGGAAAACCACTACTTCCGAACCTTTTTCTCCCTTCATTCCCGATGAGTTAAGGACACGCGATGGGAGCGGAGTCTCTTTTAGTGTCCCTGCTAAGAAAAGTACTCACATTAATGACTCCAGTAAAAGAAACAATCCTATAAAGTCTTATCCATAACAAAGTGCTGTAATATACAATACGGGTGTATGAAGTAAGGTAGTGGAGTACATATGGTTTCTGAATTGTAGTGGCGTGCCTCTAACCTTTAAACGAGTACATAAGCTGAATAAATGTACTTTGTTGATTTCGACCACTGTGAGTCTCTGAGTTTCCTTAACATGGGGATTCCTGTGTGGTCTGAAACAAACAGATATTTAACTCATAAAGGACTTCAATGAGAAAAAGCAAATCTACACATTGAGCGACAAGGAATTGGACACGTTGGACACAAGTTGTGTAGTGAGCTTCTTGTATTATTCACGTGTGTAAAACTCACAGCTTCAAGTGTTAACACGTTGTATTGCACAATAAAATGAGCAGCATCGGAGGCGACGCGTCAACATGAAAATGCCACACGCACAGACGTATCGACGCCACGTTAAATAGTTCAGACTTTGGCATGACATGATAAAAGAGGTAATAAGACATGTCCTCACTGGCATGCAGTTGGGACGATGATGACACTACTTGAAGACACAGTACTGCACTTATTCTTACTCGGCACACAATAAAACTCTATAGATTATTAAGTTAATTTATCAGGTGCATTAGTGTATTCAGTTACCTTTGGTAACTCGTATAGACCCTTGAGTCCTTGTGATTGTATCATTAGAGACTGCGTACATGTGCACGTAAACATTTCTGTCCCTTTCCACTATTCGGCCGCCGGGAGTTTTCCCAGGTGATCCTTCCTGTTGGTGAAGACGCAGCGGCAAGCCGCCAGGACGGGCCCGCCCTCGCCCCGGCTCAGGGTGAACACGAAGCGGCTGACGCCCGTGTTCGGCGAGGGCGAGAACAGCTGGGACATCTTCACCCCGGCGGGCAGCGAGCTCTTTAAGTCCTCCACCAGGTGCTTGACGGCCACGCGGATGTAAGCGCCGTGGCTCACGACCAGAGCGTGGACCGGCACCCCGGGGAGGCCGTCGTCCGCGGCACCCGACCCGGGGGCTTCGGCCCCGTTTGCCGCGCCTTCGGGTTCTGACGCTCGCGCGGGGGCGTCTGCCGCCGACAGGCAGTGTTCGTCCAGCATTCGCTTGAAAAGGACTTTGAGGAATTTTTTGAATCGCAGCTTTACCTAGAAGGAAGGCGACGGTGAGGCAGAGGGGGTTTGAGAGCGGGAATCACGCCGCTTTGTCCTCGTACTGCTAGTGAATAGATATATTCATATGGTGAAATAACACGGTAATATATCCGTTACTTGAGCCACTATTTTGATAATTGTTTACGGTATTGAATTCAACTTAAACAAGGCTTTTTATCTTTGTATTTAACGAAAGGATTACATTATTACATGATAAATAACGACCAGTCATGCATTACAGCCTTGTAAAAGGAACAACGTTATTACTCATGCAACACTACAGAGAAGATTTTATTTACATTAATTAGAATTAAGATTTTCCAAATTACTCTCTTCAAGCAATATTCATGAAAAGCCAACTACATTCACTTTTCTCTCCAGACTTGAGAAGTTTGAAGTGCAATATTCACAATGGCCGCCGCGCGGCGCTGTTGCACAAGGAATTTCCTCTTGACCTTCCGAGCTTCAACGTGGCTGTTTTCAAACTCTCAACAATCAGCTTCCGACTGATAAGCCCTGACGGTGTCTGACTCACCTGGTCCAAAGTCTCTCCTCCTGGGGGGGTGTAGTCACGGCACGACTGACCTGCAGCGTTAGCCATGTTCTTCAGATCATCTTTGGGACGTCCTTCAGCGACACCAAAACCCTGCACCGAGAACAAAACCACAACTTGGGAGCTCAGAAAAAGAAACGGTCATATTCTAGGGATATTCGGACGTAGTCTGAAGACGACAGATCTCACCCGCTCTCTGAGTAACGGCTCCAAAACCATCTCAGGGCCAGAAGAATGAGTGCTGTTCTTCAAAATGATTTCAGCTGTCTAAAAGGGGGGAGATAAGGTGGAAATGACTCATTACTGACTCATTTATTAGTGCCAAACCGGCGTCACAACGCTGTCAGGATCTGTGAGTCAAAGACCGCAGGAGATGAATGTTCACACAACTATTCGATTAATGGATGTTCTGAACCTGCATCCTGTTTTTTCTTGCTCTTTTTGTCAGAGTGAGAGAAAAAAAAAGTCCCAATTTGTCTTTACCAGAGTGAATTTCTTTCAATATGCCGACAACACCACGCAGTTGTCTGACCTCTCTTAGTGTATCAAGTCTGATTATTTCACTACACCACGTGGCCACTTACCCGTACGGCTCGTTGGAGGTCACTGGCAAACACGTCGTTGAACGTGATGCCTCGGAGGTATCGTCCCACCGCGTCAGCCTGCTGGAGACCCGTTTCTGACAAGGGCGTGTCCACACCTTGACCTGAGAAGACGGAAACCGTATTGATCGGCGTTAATCGAGTAAATTAAAGTGTAGTTTTTCCAGCTGTAACACGCACGCGTTAGATGTGAGAGCGGTGCGGCCGTACCTTGCAGCAGCTTGTCCCTGTTGTACTGTGTTTCCCCACTGTGTGAAAACATGGCACAACAAATCAATGTCAATATTTCATCGGTGACAGGATAGCGGTCATGTTTTAAGGCGTCTTGGTTAAGACTGAACCGCATAGCACACGCTAGCTAAGTTCCGGAAAACTTGTTTACCGGTGAACTCCGCACACACAACCACCGTGCTTAATAACACGCACACACAGGGCAGGAGAAACCGATTCTACTCTGTAAAACGCCATCATGTCATCAGTTCGTTCAAGCTCATGTTCTCTGGGAGTGAAGAGGTGAAATACTTCAGGAAATGATCACTTACTGTCGTACGAGCGTTAAACTAAATGTAAACATCGTCAGGCTGCTCCTGTGCTGCGTACTTCCGGGTTGCTTGAGTCGCGATAATGTGACGTAGCCTCGTGCGTCACAACGCATCTCGCTTTACAGCGCTGCGTAAAGAAAATTTCACACCAAATGTAACATCTCAAACTGATCTATGCAGTGGAATGGTTGTTACTTTAAAGTTTACTTTTATATAAAACACGTAGTCTTCATCTCCAATTAATCAGCATATGGTTTACTGTCCCTTATATTCAAAAGGTAAAGCATGGAAAACGACATTCAAATAGAATACACATGCTTTTTTATATATTCCAAGTTGAACCACATTGCGAAATCACTTTAAAGCTTAGACCTACCACGCTTTTTTTTAGATGCTAGCAAGTCATTTTGGGCATTGGCCACTTTATCCAATCGGTTTTTAGCCAAGTTGTCATCTAGTAATACCACTAAAGATCAGACCTCACTTCAGGCACATGCCAACATAAATAACATTTATCCAGATGTCAAGTCTGTACAGAGGAAGACACACGAGTGGTTTTAGCCAATTTATTGAGAAACTGTTGAGGTACACTGTGTGGTTGCACATGGGGATAGTGGGAGAGGAGTTTAGAAAACCAACCACACTGAACAATGATAAAACATCCTCTTGGTTTAAACTTTGACTAAATGGGCACCTCAATACACAATATTCCACTTTACTCCAATGAACCGAACTAAACAGGCCAATGAAACTCCAAATATCTTTCCAATACATGTATAACGTACAGTATGGGCTGTTTTTTACTTAGGTATATGACAGCCTACATTAATGTATAGGCACTTTTAACTGCACAGTGAAATCTGGCGCAAGACTTTTCTTTGAAGAATACGTAGTCCTTCCTCATCCGGACTGGAAAAAAAAAAAAAAAAAAGTGAAATTCGTCCAACAAAAATCAGAGCGAAAACAATGTGTGGGTGATGTGAAGTTGGATGAGGTAACGCGAAATGGGCTCTCGCTCTATCCGTCCAAATTAACCTGAGGTACACAAACATTACAAAGAAGCAGCAAGAATATGGTAGAATATAAAGATAAAATGAAACAATACAGAATAAAAACATGCTAATCAAAAAGATTGGCAAAAACAAGTACTTCCAGTCCCGCACCAAACTGTTACGTTTCCTCCAGTACACATACAACAGAAAAGCAAAGAAGACCTGTTACATTTACAACATTTCATAATATAGCAGCACACAAGTGAATCAATATAAGGCATCTTTGTGTAAGACTAGAAAACAAAAGCTTCATAGCAGCAAAAGAATTCTGTGTATGATCTAGTTGTCTCACTTTGGAATTATCTTGTTCAAATTATACACAAAACCTTTAAAAGCATAAACATTTTTTCTGTTTGAAGCACTTTTCTTGGGGAAAAAACATTTGGCTTTTTGCACAACAGAACATACAGGAATACAATTTAGAAACTGCATTTCTGTTCTAAAACGCGATGAGGACATTTGTTAGCATTTCTGCTCATGGGGGAATTTGGTTATATACAGCCAAAAACGTTCACACAATGTAAACCCCTACCGACCCCGTTCTACAAATGGAGAAAACTCATTTTAAATCTTCAGTTCAGAGTTTACATTTATAAAAAAATTAAAAGAAAAAAAGAGCCAAACACCGGACACTGCGTGTAACTCTGAGACCTGTTGGAAGGTTTTTGGTTCCGGATTCACAAAAATTCAAGTAAGGTTAAATAAACGCAATGAACCCCCCCCCCCCCCACCCGCCCAATAAAAGGTCTATAAGTGACTTGGCTTTCGATATGCTGCGTTCACGCCACCGCGCAGACTGAACTTCAACGCAACAACGGCAAAAGACGTCCATCCCCGCCGGCTGCAGCGATAAGACTCCAGACTCAAACACGGTTTTGTGAAGTCTCTGCGTGAACCGTAGACGGCCTGAACAATAACGCCGTATTTACGCCTCTTATGCTTGGTTCCTACGGCCGTAGTGAACCAGTGATCGACGAGGATGAACACGTTTGGCGTGAACACAGCACTAGTTTATACTCTATTAAACCATAACACCGATTAGCCTACGTCTCCTCACCTATCGGGGCGAAGCTTACAAGACTATGTGCGTTACCCCCCATGGGAATCCAGCCCAGAAAATAAAATAACTTAAAAAAAAAAAGGTCCCAACAACCCACTGAACTCTCCAACAACCACCATCCCCTTACCATTCTTAAGGAGTGTGTTTTTAAAAGTGCGTCAATATTGTTCCACGAAATGGAAATTGATAACAGGAGAAACTGCAGCGCGACCCACACGATCCCGTCCGGATGTCACCGCGGATTCCTCCTCCGGTGTGCCACTCAAGTAACGTGCAACTGCAGAAACATTACATAGCTTAAGTTAACTTCCTTGCTGTGAATCTACACTTCTAGCATCCCGCCCCACTCCTCCTATTCCCATCTTTTCCTCCCTCACACCTTCCACATGCGTTTCTTTTCCCCCGAAAAAAGCGTCACACGAAAACCTTCAACCAGCCTCCATTTGCTCTCAAACCTGGTACAAAACGAACCTGCCCAATATTCTCTTCCTCTCTCTTAACAAGACATCTGCCCATCCGAGACATCTGCCAAACACTCTCCTCCAACATGTAGGAGCTAGAAAAACAACAGCAATGTAGCCTCGCTGAATTATTACACACGTACACGTCGTCCAATTAGCATACTGTACTGGATTTGGCAGTGAAATGAAGACTCTTTATAACTGACCTTGTCCTCTGGATGAACTATTACCAGAAGCCACCGCTCCAAACCGCGGAGCCCCTCATGTCCCTCCTCTGTGAGCGGGCCCAGCCGCCTCCTGGCCAGCACGTTACCGCACAAACGGTAACGGTAACGCATCTGCGGGTGCACAGGGTGATCGATGGGCACTAGGGAGCAGTTAACTACAGCGGCGATCCCCTCACTGCATTTCAGCGCTGTTCAAGGGCCGTCGCCTCAAAGCAGCAACTGTGCTTTGTAAAATCTGAGTTTTACGGCACAGGCGGATTGATAACTGCTCACTGAAGAGGATAAAAGGGTAACATAACTAAATTCTAGCTAAATATTTTATATATATATATATATATATATATCATTTATTTGTACTATGTTTTATCAAAAGAAATATGTATATTTCATAGAATTATGCTGTTTTTTTTTTTTCAAGTATGAAAATATATCCAGGTTTCCGTTGGGGGAAACTAAAGGCACCATCAAGTTCAAGATGTTTCTTTTTTTTTTTTTTTTTTTTTTTAAATAGTCGTTTGATTACATGTGGCCCGTACGAAAAGGTGAAAGTACACCCAACTGGGTATGAATGGGGCAAAAAAGGAGAAAAAACTAGAAATTTCTTATTTACTAAAAGTTCATAGATTGTCACACAAGCGCCGACGTGGCGTCTCGACGTGGATACCGGCGGCAGCTCCCGCCTCCGGTCAGTTCAATGGTCGAACGGGCGCGAGTGATGCGTGCGAGTTCATAAGTCGACGTCGCGTACATCCGTGGGGGTGCTGGACTGGTCCTGCTGCTCCCTCGCCTTGTTGCCAGCGGTGATGCCGTTCTCCCGCCGGTACTGCTGGCCCTGCTGCAGGCTGCTGGCCAGAACGCGCTCTATCTGCTCCTGGCACCCCCTCAAACAGTCCTGGAACAAAGGGAAGTCTGTGAGCTCGGCATGTATTCTTAAAGTATGAAACTTCCACAACGCAAAAAAGAAAAAGGATGCCTAAACAAATCATTTTTAGTTAAAGTATATATATATATATATATAATCCAGTCTTTCTCAAACTAATTGTTTTGATCTAAACAAGCTTTTTTGCAATAAATAAAACACGCTCGCCATGTAGCGTGACTGATCAGTACACCTGAACGCCAGAATGTGCAGAAACCTGGTATTTTATGTGCAAGTTGTTCTACAGCTTGGGTCACATGCACGGCATACCAGCCGGGAATTATGTGCGTTGAGGTTGGTGGTCCTGTCTGCAATCATGACCAGAACAATGGGTACCAGCAGGCTCCAATACTAAGAACACTGCACGGTGGGCACAGGAATCGTCCCTGACACAAGACCTGTGCACGTCTGAGGTATGAATACGAGGAGGAGGGGGGGGGGTGCGGCGAAGCACCTAAATGACCTCTGTGACCTATTTGGGTGTAGATAAGCAGATCTGGACTCCCTTCCTCCACCACCCCTCCTCCTCCTCCTCTTAGGGTTTACGCCACGGTCAGGCTCATGCGGCGGTCTAAAGGAAATGGCTTTGACCGACTGAACCTCAGAGTTTGCTGTAAAACAGCATATAGGACAGTGAGACCGGATGTTTTTGGACAACTTCTCTAGTGAAAGGGGATCCTCTCTCCGCCTGCCGCCCCCCCCCCTCCTTGCCCCCCCTGCAGGTCTGTGTGGAAGCTGTGGGAGGTCTGGCTCACTGAGCCGGCTGCAGGACTCCGGCTCGCAAAGAGGCCAACATTCCTTTGAAATGTACGGATAATTGGAACCTGATGGGCCGCAGTCGGGGCGCCTGTTGTGACGGCTGGGTTTTGCGGGGCCCGCGTCGCCGTGGCAACGTAACCACCAGCTAAGAGGCAAACAGTGTTGTTCATGTGGCCCGCTGGCTGTGGTCTTTTGGGGTTTCTATGGTTCTGAACTGGTCCTGTGATGTGACAGTGAAAGATGGGATAATTTACGGTTGTAAGTGTTATTGTATAAGAACGAGCGATAAGGTGACTCTTTGGTATATTTGGCTCATTTATAGATATCATGCTTACATTAAAATCCCAAGCTCCATCCAGCTACTAATTGCAAACTGAGAAGCTGTACAAATGTTTACTATGATTGAAACAACAGTTCGTGACTTAATACATTACACTAAAGTCTACGGAGGACTATTCCCTCCCATAGAAGTCAAACACAGCAGAAATTCCAAATGCTTGGTATGGCACATTGATCTTCAAAGCACAACCAATTCATTTCAAAAGATTCCACGAATGCATTAAAGTCAACGACTTTTCACGCGTTTATAAAGTAACCGAAAAAGCGTCTGAGGAACAGTGGGGATTCTGCTCCCGACTTATAAGCCTCCACCAGGAGGGGCGTGCAGCTAATGTGGGAGCCATGCAGGGAAATTGCATGTGTCCTACCACAAGAATGTGGGCTCTGAGTTTTAAGAAGACATTCCCTCTGCCGCTGCCCTTTATAGCAGCAGTCAACAGCCAAGAATCAATCCCTCCCTCTCCATGAGAAGTAAAGCGCTCCAATCTGCCACTACTTAAGTCACCTCTGCTGTTTACTAAAGAACCTTTCATGCTGCTGTCGTGAGACGCTGCAATGATCGTTGTGCGGCGCTAAAACTGGGTCATCACTTCTGGCAGGTGTACATTTCCTTCCGTGTTGCACTCACCACCTCCGTGTTGGTGATCTTGGCCAGCAGGTCCGTCAGGTTGTCTCGACTCAGCCGCTGGTCGCTGTGGTCTAGCTTTAGGCCGCAGACAGCGGCCCCCGTGCTGCCGGTGGCGAGCATGGAAGGGGGGTTCAAGGCGAGGCGGTCATCTGGCGAGGAAGGAGGATCAATGTGCAATTAGTTAAGGCTACAGTGACGTACAGGAAATTACATCTGCAGCCGTGAGCTGCAACACAGGAGATGAGAGAGCGGCGAAAACTTCTGAATCACCCCCCCCAGTATGCTCACTCCACAGCCGAACCAGACTTTCCCACAGTGTGAATTTCAACAGACGTAGCCGCACGGTGCAACTTCCTCAGGAGAAACTTCAGCTGTGATTAGAAAAGCAGAGCAGGAATCCTCCCACTCGCTGCGCAATGATTCCCCCCGATGCGCATCCCAGTCCGAAGGCTTAAGCGACAACAGGCCTGGATGATGGAGGAGGAATCTGAGGCAGCCCACCTCCGCAAGAACTGAGCGGGAGCTGCTTCAGCCTTTAAGTGTCTTATCTGAACATTAGTCTAAGAGTTCCCACTCAACGTTTTCAGGAAGCTGCTGGGAGGAACAGAGACGTCCTGAGTTTAGAAAAGGGGCGGGGCTGACCCCGTTTCCAGGCCGTACAGCAGGTTTCATGAATGAACGTATTCACCGTGTCTACGTTGATGGATGTTCGATCAATCACGGTGGAGCACGCAGGAGTGTGAGAAACAGAACGCAGGCTGCGACAGTTTGATTTCTTTCTCCCGGCTAACCTTACAAATTGGCTCAATATATCGGTCTATTGGTTTATAGCCGGTGGTGCACTTCATGAGAAAAGTGTAGCATATTTATGGTTTGATGGAGAACTCCACGAAAAAGGTTAAAGTTCATAGCACACGAGGTGCAGACTGCTCCCAATGAACTCCGGTTTAAGCTGCTAGTTTGCTGTATTGTCAAAAAGCTTCAGAAACCTCCTCCCTGCACACCTTTCTGGAACTTTTTATTGCAGTCTTGACGCAACTATTAGTGTCATTTGTTTTGGGCTGTTTGGAACAAATGTCAACGTTATAGACTAAACATGCTTCACCAAACGGTTACTGGATCATTTCCATTCCTTATTATTAGGCTTAATACCTAGCACAGCATCAAATAATGGTTTTAAAGACCAGACCAACACCGGTTGGGAGCAGCTGCACCACATGGCCCAGTCCAGCCCAGCACATAGACCTGGCCCAGTGCAAAACAGCGTTGGCAGATAGCTTTGATTAAACCCCCAGACAGAAGCCTGCCTCGCTGCAACAATCTTCTCCTCCAGGGGCCAGCTGTCCATAGGAGGAGCTCCTCCATCGTAAGAAAAACATCGCAACTCCATATAAACCTCCAAACATTTATATTACAGCAAACCACAGCAGGCCTTTCTTTTTCCTCCCACTGCGGCTGCTTTGTGCTTGGTATGAACCAGCTGCTTATGAATAGCAGAGGCGACCACTTAAACACACCCATTATTTTTTTTTATATATATTTTTATTTTTTTTGTTGTTGTGCATATTAACCATATCTGACCACATTTGAAGTGGCTGCAGTATTTCCTTTACTGCGTTAGCTGAATGGGAGGAAGCAAATGAAAGGCGGCTCTGTGACAGAGCAGTTCTATATACTGACCCTAATACGCTTACATTACGTGTATTCGCTGATCCCACTGTAGTGTTTTTGTCCAGGATATGAAAATATTAGAGGGATTGCTCTTATAGGCAAAGGAATACCGTGGAAATTCCCCTCGGGAAGAGGCCTAAGGGGACATCTGAGAGTGCGCCTCTCCAGAGGTCAGAGTTTATTTTGGACCTGAGGAAGGGGCAGTAGGAGGAGGTTCACTGCTTCCCTTTCAACAAACACACGCGGGGTTCATCTGCACCAGAGTCACACAGCACAGGAGTTCAGTAAGAGAACAGTGGCTGACTTAAGGAAACGGTTTATCGAACACCGCATTGATACGATTTATCAACACATGCCAGAGAAATGCGGAAAGGATTCCTCTAAAGCAGCTGTGAAGGAAAACTACGGGCTGAGACTATAACGTGGCAGTCTGTGAATATTCTGCTTCATGTGGGAATCACAAGGCAGCAAAGTTACCTGTGGCACAGAGGGCGATGAAGGTCTGCGTGTGCTTGCGGACCACCGGCAGCTTGTCTTTGGGGAGGGGGAGTCTGCGTATGATGTGCTCTATGAAGTCGTTGGGGATGACCGAGGCCATGTTCCACCTCAACTTCCCCAGGACGACCAGCTCCCAATCCTAAAAGACACAGACACAAAAGTGGGAGTCAGTCCAGCGTCGGCGGAATCGTCTCACTCGAACGGGTTAAATGGCGCCCTGCCACGCTTCCATTGACCGTGAAAGAAGATCACAGTGAGTCTCTTTTCCCAGTGGAAATGGCTCTGTAAGGAGAGTAACATTTCTTCACTTTATCTCTCCGCACCGCATCTCATTATCTGCGTGCCTTTCCCATTCCTCACATCCTTTGTGTTCGTATAGCCGGCATGTGACGAGCTTTTCCCTGCCAATGAGGCGGCCTTCCTGTCACAAGCCCCAAACAGCTACAATGAGTCTGCTCTCTGCGCAGGCGGCGGCGGGCGCGCGGCCTCTTCAGGCAGCTAATGCAGAAAGGTGTTTCATGATTTCATTTCCTGTGTGTTCAGTCAACCTTCACAATGTCTCACTGCTTCCCTGCTCGGCTTCCAGTATTTCGAATAAGTCATGGCGAGGAGGTGGAGGCTGCTTGAGTATTTTTATCTGCACACACATGCAGTTTGCGTTTTATGCTGTAAAAATGTGCACTTGGGCTCTGACATTCACAAAGAAAAAACAAGAGTTCCAAGCAGTGAAAACCACACAGGCCTGGAGAAATGTAAGCATGAAAGTTGGTTAGAAAGGCGCGGACAGAACGAGCCATCAGATCAGAAACTAAATGAGCGACGTATTTGCACCCAAGCAACACAAAACCAAACTACTAAACGGCGTCTCCGGGTTTCCACAAGTCTCGTTTGGCCAGTTTATTGATGGGATTTTCTTCAAACGTCTACAAGTAAAGACTAGAGATTGAGAGACACGCCCTTAACGACTGCGAAGCATGGTGTAGTAATGCATTCAAAAAAAAATGTTTCTTTTTGTAATAAAAAATAAACTACAAAATGTCCTGCTGCAGTGAAGCATCAAAGCCGGGACTGTAAAGGCTCAGTTCGTCCTTCCGTCAGCCATGACGTCGTCTACTGTCCCATCACAGCATGAAGACAATGAGGTCGGCCATTTGCAGAAGACGTATCAGTCATTCACTGCGCTTTCTGCTTATCCGTGACAACACCACAGCTCATTACATTACTTCTTGCATTTCCTATGGTTGCCTTTCTTTTTAGAGAAAGAGGCTGATTAGACGAAAGTAATCCGAGTGGACAGCATTCTATGATTACATCCATGAAAATGCAAACTGCGCAGTCAGAACAGCTGAACTGGTTTACTGCAGTTATGGGTAATTTGTGTCACCTAAAACACTACCGTAGTAATCACTGAAAACCCAACAGGGACAGCACCTCTCCACCCCCATACGAGTATTTATCATCTGAAACATCGTTCACATCTACGTGGGTTTCCTGTACATAACCTGCCACACACACACATGCATTTAACCTATTTGAGCCCTCGCAGAGATTTTCTGACAAACGATGCAGAGGTTTATTGTTGGAGAGCTCACTTCCTGGACAGCACGCGCTCCCCCCCCTCCTCATCCGACAAAACCATCCTGTCAGAATACACAGGAATCTGGAGGCCAACGACTATGTGGAGCATCATGCGGGCCGAAGGTAATTCCCCTCAACAGCTGCAGGCGACACGGGAGGATGCAACGACAGCACGTGGAGCCGTTTGGTTTAAATAAGGACGCAAAAGACGGACATCGGTCAGCGCTTCTAAAAGGGGGGGGGGGGCTTTTATTTAAACACCACCAGAGATGGAGTCCTCACACTATTGGTGTGTGGAGGTAAAAGCAAAAGGTGCCAATGCTGATTTCAATGTTAAAACTGAAAACAGTATCTACTTCATATAGAAGGAGCACATGGACTGCAAGATATTCAAGTTCTATACTGCATAACTGACACTAGAGGGCATCACCAGCCTCTTCAGTCCACAGTGCATCCAGAGAAAGGATGTGGCTGTACTGTGCACAGCTCCTCTTATAAAAAAAGCAAATGGGACACTTCCTGTGAAACCAATAAAGCCGTTAGCGTGACAAAATCATCCCAAAATATGACTCTGCATTGTCATGTTCTCCCGGATGAATGGGGCCTTTGAAATTTCCGGTTCTCACCAGCAGTTCTCGAGGCGTGATGGAGTTGTCTGTGTACATGCACAGTTTTTCCGCTGACAGCGGCCTGCAGTCCTTTAACTTGGAGGCCAGGAATATGCACACGGCTCCCAGGAGCTGCAAGTAACCCTTTCTGGTGGGCACCACGGCTAAAAATCTGTCCAAATAGTTAATGGCTAAAGGGAAGACGTCTTCATTACTCTTCTCCTCCTCACACACCTAAAATGAGACGGGAATAAAACAGAAAGAAAACAGTTAGAAGTAAAACAAGAATTACGAAAGCAAAGTAGGACAGTAGGAGTATTCTTGCTTTGAATTAGTTGGTGGGAGTGGTTTTGCTAAAGAATGTGATGTTTTTTCAATGCTGGTCTTGTCATAAGGTTAAAGGTTAAATATCTAATTTTCATCGCACTTTAGCAAACTCAGGATAAGGAAGAAACTAATTAGTACTCTGTACTAATTAGTTCAATGGGAAGTCATTCAGCAAAACGTCGCCATTGAACTCCTCTTCCTTGTCGAGGCTCGTCGCTTTTAAAAAACTATTTAAAAATAAAAATGTACCATCTGGGTTAATTGAAGCACGTGCACAATGTTAAGACGCGGTGTTAAAATAGTTCCCGACGGTTAAAACAAAACTAATATTCTGCAAACGTTCGGTTATTTCGCCTTAAAAACGTGAAAGTGGTTCTGCAAAGCACGTTGCCAGACCAAAGCCTAAATAGCTTCAGCCATTTCAAAAAAAATAAATAATAATAATTCATTTACAATTATGAAAAAGGGGAATTATCCAGTCTAAATTAAGACTAACTTCCCCGCTCGCGCGTGGGCTAGCGGGTTTAGCGAAAAACACCACCTTTTGTTAGCTGTTAACCAAAGTAAATATCAAGCTAGGCTACTTCTTTGAAGCTCGACTTTCTTCGTGGTGGAATTTCCGACTCTCCCACGCCTTCGGTGAGTCATTCTCATTCAATTGTCAAGAAGGTTACCAGCCTCCGACGACCTTCTACGGACTAAAACCCGTGCCGAAAACATGTCAACATGCAAAAAAAGAAGAAGAAAAGTTTAGCTTAAGCAGTTAACGATGGGTTAGCACAGCAACGCATTAAAATGCCCACAAACCTCGTGCATCCAACCTGCAACCATTCGTCTCATATAAGGCTGAATATCCTTCTGCACCCGCTGGAAATAGGAGCACTGAGGTAAAAACTTGTCTTCAACTGTTAATAAACTTTGCAACACTCTGTCATCATAGAGGAGGTTTGGGTCAGGCTGGGCTCTCACGACTATGTCCGACTCCAGGCAATAAAGCTCCATGACTCGGTTCCCCTTCTTCCCCCCCTCCACTTTTTGTTGCCCCTTTTTTTCGTGGCTAAATAATAACAAATAAAAAACAATAAATATATTTTCAGGATGTTGACGACAGCGAGGAGGAGGAGGAGAAGAAGTGCCCGGAGAGGAGCATGAGGCTGAGACTGCTGGGTTCGCTCCAGTCCTGCTGCCTCTCGCCTTTGCTGCTGCTGCTGCTGCTTCTTCTTCTTCTTCTTCTTCTTCTCCTTCTTCGTCGTCTTCTTCTTCTTCTGCAGCAGCTGCTCGAACCGCACGCAGCGAGAAACACAACATCCGGCGGCAGCTTTCAAAACAAAAGCCGCAGTGGCACGAACTCTTCCGTTCTGACTGCTGCTCTTCTTGAAACTGTTTGCTTGGTTTCCGGCCCTGCTCCAGTGTTTTGACAATTATTTTGAAAGAGACAGACACGTGGACTGTGACGTAGGTCTCATCTGCTTCCCAACTGGTGTGGATTTTTGTGCCCTGAAAAGCCTCTGCATAACAGTGACAAACAATTTCTCACACACCTCTATTGCATATATATATATATATATATATATATATATATATATATATATATATATATATATATATTAAATCAATTAGTTGTATTTACTCTAATTTCCTTTTCTGATTTTTTCTCTTAGTCTGAGAAAAAAAAATGATTGAAAAAAGGGAGTGGGAAACTCAGTTTACTTTCGTTGATGCCATTATTGTGCCATAAATGAGCGAAAGACAGAAAGGGAAAAGAAGAGAAAGGGAAAGAAAGTAAGTTAAATCGACAGAACATCTTGTTAATACTCAAAAAGCAAAAAAGCTAACAGGCTAACGGTGTAGTGATACACTGGAGTAAAAAGTCATAAAAGTATTTATGTCTGCAGAGATGTCCATCCATGCAGACACCCTTGACCAATGCTACTTTGATCAAGTATTATCTTGTTCAACTAGTTTTCCCCTCATAAAACCCTCATGTCTTTTGTTTTTTGTAATTTCTTTAAAGTTGCCCACCGCATCTGCTGTGTTGTACAATTTCCCTTTTCTCTCATTGATTGTGTCGTCTTTGCATGTTAGCATTGTCAACGGGAGCATGATGAAATGCTGAAGTTAGCATGTAGCTCCAAGCATGGCCTCACAGTACCGCATGGCTGAACACTTGGTCTTTTCATGGTGTGTTTATTGGTACAGTAGCTTGTTTTGTAGGTGCTCCACTGGTTCATAACGAGTTACCTCTCATTTTAAAGGAAGTACACAGTCTCTATGAAACCATTTGGATTCATGGGACACATTGTGATGTTGCACACATCCGTGTGGCGAAGGGTGTGGACGGCATGTTGATCCCTTTCCAGGGAAACGTTCTCCACTAAGGAAGTCCTTTGGCATGGTTGCAATGCCAAAGCATGAAAGTGTGATGATTGACATGTAAATCTGCAGAGAGTGCTTGTGGAAATCAGGACAAGGTAAGCTTATAATAGAAGAGGAAGACATGAGGTAGTTAACTCACAATCAAGTTGGATCTCTGAAGGCTGTTTCACTTCCGTGTGTTTTTGTCTGTGCAGCTGTGAGTGGTGAACTCACAATGGAAGGCATCAAAACATGCAAAAGTTCACTTTTCACGATTCAAAATATGCTGCTTTCGATGGCGCGGGAGCTGGTTTAGAGTCAGTTCAGCAGAGTGATAGGATCTGAGCTAAACCACTTCTCGTTGGATCGACTTCACAAACTTCCCCCTTTTCGCAGTCGCCACCGAAAGAGCTGAATGAGATATGGGGTTTCATTGAGAGAAAAAAAAAAAAAAAAAGCACTGTGGAGCTATTATGAGAGCAGACTGTGAAGTGAGAGTGGGAACTGTCTCGGAGGGAATGTCAAGGTTAGCAAGATTAGTTCTACTTCAAAGGAGGGGGTGTATATTTGAGAGGATTCCTCTTAAAATCGGGATTTCACAGGGTTGGTTCCTTTGTGTGCTCATGGAGGAACTATCAGTTCCCAGGGGATCCTTGTTTTGGTCCAAAGGGAGTCGCTCCGCGAGCGGCCCAGAGAAGTCTCCCGTACCAAACAGTCAGAGCCCGACACTTGAGGGGAAACAGAGGTGTTGGCCGGATAGAGCAGCCTTACCCTGTAGCTGCTGTTTGCGCATGTGTCCTATGATAACACATGTCAGCCGCTATCACACACTCTGAGCTGCACAGAGGTAGGAGCGCTCCAAGCCCTGGGAAAACGTGGAGGAGCGTGAAATCACCTTGATCCAAAGATTCCTGCTGCATACCAGTCCACTGAACCCACACTGGGGCCCGGAGGTGGGCGGACCGCCGCAGATCAAGAGAAATAGAACAAAAACAGAAAAAGAGAGGTGGAGGGTGATGGTCAAGACCTTTAATCCCCAGAGATTGTTACAAAGCTTAACGTCATCTCATGGGTTTCCTGTGCAGGCAGCGCTCAATGATGCAGGCCCCTCTTGGATGTAAACACAGAATTCACTTTTTAGGCCCCAGTCTCCAGAGCCGGGCTTGATTACGGGTTTCCCGTGCGCTCTGAGTCGAGCCGGCTGTTTGACTCGACGGACGGAGAGAGAAAAGGATGCCGTGGCTGGAATGCGGTGGCGAGAAACAGCGGCGAACACTCCTCCCGGCGCTGAGTGATGGCCGGTGTGTCGCTTCGGCCGGCTAGATAAAGTGGCTTCTGTCCGTCACATGGTTGCATACCACGTACACTCACATCAACTGATTACACCGTGCTGGAAGTGGATTAGACGGCCATTACCACACATGAGAAGTAGCCGACATGAATGTTCACACTCGCTGCAGAGTGGCCGAGGGGAAAGGCAGGAAAAGAAGGTGCTTTCCAGGAGAAGTTCAGCAAATCACGTGTAGGACCTATGAAATAACTTGCTGTGGTTTTCTCTGCCCAACGTCTCATAGTGATATTTTAGTCGATGTGTAAATCCCACTTCCTTAATGCTTGTGTAAACCCTCACCGTCAACCCGTAACATGTGATTGAAGGCCCTGTGGCTAGTTGCAGTCAAATACGCAGCGAGATTTTAAAACACATGGAGCGTCAGGACATCAGCACAGGGGGAAAAAAAAGAGGGTGTTTTCCGCTCTGTATCTTAGGAATGTTTTGGCTAAACTGAAAGCCATCATTCAAAGCCAAATGCCAACATTTGAGCAGACAATGATGGGACAGATAGTAACATCCGGGCCTGGTCTTTAGTCGTCTGGGTCGTGAACACAAGAGGGTTTCTTTTCTACAGTTTGGGCCACGGTCACAGCTGAAACCCCCCCCTCTCCATTAAGTCTGTATACAAGTCTGACGTCCGGCAGCTTGCATCCCTCACTCGTACCAGAGCCTCTGAGAACATTGCCCTATTCTCCCTCATGCACTCAGGAGTAACAGCAGACAGAGGAGGGGAGAGGCACTCTGAACAAAAGGGGTTCTATAAGGTGCTGGTCAAAGGCCTGTAATGAAAAATGCTACACGTTGTTGCAGAGGAAGTTCAACCTATCGAGAAACCCATTTGTCCATCAGTGTCATCAGACTGCGTGCTAAGCTAAGCTAACCCACTGACCGTACCTTCACATTAAACAGATACAAGCAAATAAATGTATCCCTCAAAATGTACATTTCTAGACAAACGTGCAACATGAATCTGCGTTTCACTATTATTTTCTTCTTTTCAACACACGTGGATACAGTCCCAATATCCATACCCATAAATTCACAAAAAAAAGTCACAAGCAGCAAGTGACTTGGGTTGGATTCTAATTGGGTGACATCACATCCTCCTCCATTTCACAGCGAAACAAACCCCGCGGCTAGAAGGATCCGCAATAGTTGAGATGAGTTCTGCGTCCCTCCCACCTCTCCCCGCACGCCAGACTTTAAAGAAAACAAACATGCACGCATGTACAATAATGCCCGTGTTCACGGTGTGAAATCTCGGCATGCGTCTGCAAAAGAGAGGGCGTGCAGCGCGACGCCTGACTGTTATATAACTCTGCAGTGGGGGGGGGGGGGGGGGGGCCCTTTGTTCTTTACCGGCAGTTGATTCCGAAAGTTCCCAAGCCTTCCGAAACATGTTTAAATCTGCCGGGGTCCAAGAGGCACCGGGTGCTTGTCAAAAGAAACAAGGTGTGCGTCAAAAATAAGGAAGAAGAGACCAACAAAAAATTGCGCCGGCGGAGCCCTCGTGGCAGATGTGTCTTTTTTTTGTTGTTGCAAAAGATGCTGGACAACTGGAGCGAGGTGATTGGCCGGTGACAACTAGTGGGCGTGTCCTGGCCGTGTCCTGCTTCCTCTGTCTCCGCTTAAACGAGAAGAGTGACAATTCATCGGGGACAGGATGTCCAATAGGAAAGACAGATCCCAGGGGTAGATAGAGGGCCTTGCAGCTGGCCACGCGATGACCTTAGTTTAAACAAAAGTCCGTCTCTTTCCCTCTCCGTCCTTCTATCAAACACTCTCTGTGCCCGTAGAAAGATGAGGCATTAAAATCCGCAGCTGAGGACTGAGAAGTTTCCAGCTTGTCATTTTCGTGTGAGTTTATTTTAAGCCAACGGGCCTCGCTGTTCCACAAATAACATTGCTTTCTTCGTCCATTCACTTCCCTTCCACAATGGAAACATTTCCATTCCTGCACACTTACATTTCCCTCCTGAGAGAGAGAGAGAGGAGGAAATGGGGGGCCTCGCAATGTGTACGAAAGCTCTTTGAAAGCGGCTCTAGCCAGGCGATATGCTCCTTATAAACTTGGAGCGGGGAGGAATTCAGGGGCGGACTGCTGCGGCCTGGACTGTCTGCGAGCGGCCCGGCGTTTTCCTTTGTGCGACGCATGGGCTAACCCAGGGCCCCCCGCGACTTCAGCCGCCGCGTAGAGAGGCCTCTGTGAGGCTGAGTCAGCTCGAGCCTCAATTCACCTCGGAGGTCCCGTCGCTTGATTCGGTTCAGCAGTGGGACTCAGAAGGCCCCCGTCCAACCGCAACGTGTCTCGTCCATTCAGAAAGAAGGCTGGAAATCAACTTGTTATCGGTACGAGAGCCGGGCCCCGCCGCAGCGACGGCCCTCTCGTGCAGAACTGCAGCCGGACCAAACCCATCGATGCACACTGATAAGTATGGTCACTTTAATAGATCTAAGTGGGGGTTGGGAATATTGTTTCTGTGAGGTAACTTGCTGTAATTACTTTGTCTTCAAATTGAAACCATTCTAGCATTCTTGGCCGACTATGGCATTGCAAAACAGACTACATTTATCCAATTAGGCATAGAAGACAAAGGCCGAGTGTGTGAAAAACAGCAAACAGAGCCCTT